GCCTTGGTGGGGGCGGGGTCACTGGCCTCGGCCGCGCGGCCTTGGCGGGGGGAGGGTCACTGACCTCGGTCGCGCGACCGCGGCGGGGTCAATGACCTCTGTCGCGTGACTGCAGTGAAGTCACTGACCTCGGCTGCGCAACTGCAGCGATGTTACTGACTTCGGTCACGTGATTACGGTATATATATATATATATACATATATGCGTATGTGTATGTATTATATATAGATATAGAATATTACATATAATATATATAATATTCTCTTTTTTACCTTTTTCTCTGTCATGTAACTTTAGTCACGTGTTGTTTTTCCACTTCTCTCTCTCACTATTTTTTGAATTTGATTTTCATGCGTTATTTCTGACATTTCTCATATGTGTATTTTATGGTTCATAAGACGTATATACTATCTGAGCAAAGACTGGCCGGTGCCTAAACAGTTAAAGGGGCACGGAGCCATAAGTGCAAAGAAGAAGAAGAAGTATATACTATCTGTCATCGCGGTGACAGGTTGTGTTCACTGACAACACGTTAAATAAAAATAACAATAGCGTGCGTGTAGCGCGCGCCTGTTGTGCTAGTATCTGAAATCTGAAGAAATTTTCCGTTTCTTAACCTCACACGTGTGTTATTTTAATTCTTTGCCAATTATTGACCGATAATATATTGTATTATAATGCGTGTGAATGCTCATCGGTGCTTATCAGTGTGTGTCGTGTGTCTCATCGTGCGTGTTAAATAGATCTCGCTATTTGTTCCAAGATCTTTTATCATATAGTTACACACAGAAAGGAGAAAAAAGTAATTTATTGTTTATAGCGAGAGAAACAAATATGTACACATATTTGTGCAATAAATAAAATAACAAAATATATGTCATCAATGAAATGTATATGATTGATCATCGCTTCAAACCAGAATTTTCGATCAGCGGTACATATAACTAAACACAGCAAAAAGGAAATGAAAGCGTCATTGATTCTATCTTTAACTTTACGCTCCCATTTGTGTCAAAAACATCAAGCCGAAAATAAACTTCACGAATGTCGCGACGCGTCTAGATAGTTCTACACCGGTTATAATACGACGCACGAGCGCCTTCGCTTCTAATCGAATCTTCAGAGCGAGCGTGAGCTGACTTGGAAATCACACAAGTTTATCTTTCCAATTGTGTATATTTTGCGACAAAATTTTTAAAAAAAGTGAATTACTCACTGATCCTTGAAGTTTATGATTATTTTGAGACTTTTTGAGCTATAAAAATTTGTGTCAAGGTAAATTTATACTTCAAGTGTGATTTTACTTGTATGTTTTTTCATTTATTATATAGTGTTTTATATATTCGACAGATTTTCTATGTATACATATTTTGCACAAACTTTTATATTTGAAACAATACACATTTTTTATACTTTATAAAACTAACTTTCATGTATTTTGTGTGTAGCAGATTTTTGTATTACATCATGACGAAATCGGATATAACTGCACAAGAGTGGAAGGAGAAGGGTAATGAAGAGTTTAACAAAGGCAACTGGTCAGAAGCTTTGAATTGCTATACAAATGCATTGAAATTAGCAAAGGAAGATAATACTGAGAAAGCAGTATACTATAAAAATCGAGCTGCTGCTTTTTTGAAGCTAAAAGATTATGAGAAAGTGGTCAAAGATTGTGATGACTCACTGAAGATATGTCCTAATGATCCCAAGGCGTTGTTTCGCAGATGTCAGGCGTTAGAAGCATTGGACAGATTTGAGGAAGCTTACAGAGATGCGAGAAATATCATTTTATCTGATCCCAATAACAAATCTATTCTACCTATAGCTACACGTTTACATGAAATTGTACAAGAACGATTTAAGGAGAATTCACGCGTCAGTGCCAAAGTAAGTAAAAATTGTAAAATAAGTTTTCTTTCGCTCTTTTCATTATTTCTTTTATTGATGTACACTAATCAAAATATGTATTTATTTGCAACCACTATGTATTTCTAAGTTATTTAATTTTGTTATGTTAGGTGTCGCAAATGTTTGACTTAGCTTTTACCATGACCAACGATAAAGAGAAACGCGAGACTGCAATGAACAATCTGCTTGTGCTAGCACGTGAAAGAGCTGGTGCGGAGGAGATCTTTAAAGAGGGAGGTGTGTCAAAAATCACAAAACTCTTGAAATTGGAGAAAAACGAAGAAATAATATGTAGCGCGATTCGCATTGTCGGGGAATTATGCAAAAACAATATCAGTCGGACCAAGTCCATCATAGCAGATATTGGTTTGCCATGGTGTCTGGAGATGATAAACAGTAAATTCGCAGAAAGAGTCACTGCGGCGCAATATTGTTTACAGGTAATGACACAAATTTCCTTCTCCCGCCATGACGATATTGAAATCATATGTACGTAATCGAACGTGATTAAAACTCTACATTGTGATTTCAGACTATATTAAATACTTACAGCGGATTGGACAACAAGCCTGATTCGAAACCCGACAAAGCTCTATGCGAGGTTCATAAAAAGGAAATAGACACGATTCTGTCGTGTTTGTTGTACAGTGTGACAAATAGAACAATTACAGGCCTCGCTAGAGACGCAATTATAGAGCTTATTATCCGAAACGTTCATTACACCGCATTAGACTGGGCCGAGCGATTAGTCGATCTTCGCGGATTGCAGAGGTTGATGGAAGTGGCTAGCGAGATGGAGGAATATAAATATGAATCCTCGATGGACGTTACGTCCTCTACGCGAACCATAACTAGCGTGTGTCTAGCTAAAATATATGAGAACATGTATTATGACGCCGCTAAAGAAAAGTTCAGAAACGCTATTGATGAATTTATCAAAGATAAATTGCTTACGCCTAATATAGAATCCAAGGTATGTGAAGAGGCTCTAACACTTATATTCTATAACATAAATTTATTTTATGCAAAATTAAATTTATGGATTGACCTATTGTTTTTATTAGGTACGTGTGGTGGTTGCGATAACGACTTTATTACTGGGCCCGCTGGACGTTGGTAATGCGATCGTGGCTAAAGAAGGAATTTTGGAAATGATTCTCGTCATGGCGGGAACGGACGATGTGCTGCAGCAGAAGGTCGCTTGCGAGTGCATCGTTGCGGCTGCATCGAAGAAAGATAAAGCCGCAACGATTATAAATCAAGGTGTAAATATACTGAAAAAATTATATCAATCCAAAGACGACTCAATTCGAGTGCGAGCGTTAGTAGGACTGTGCAAATTGGGCAGTTCCGGAGGTACGGACGCGACTATAAAACCGTTTGCGGAAGGAGCGACGAAGAAACTGGCAGAGGCTTGCAGACGATTCCTGATCAATCCCAAGAAACAGAAGGATATGAGGAAATGGGCTGTAGAGGGTTTGTCATATCTCACTTTCGATGCCGAAGTCAAGGAAAAGCTGATCGAGGATCAGGAAGCCATTCAGGCAATGATCGAGGTTGCCAAGACCGGCGATCAATCGGTTCTTTACGGCGTGGTCACTACGTTGGTGAACTTGTGCAATGCTTACGATAAACAAGAACTCATACCTGAAATGATAGAACTAGCAAAGTTTGCGAAACATCATATACCCGAGGAACATGAGCTGGACGAACCTGACTTCGTGAACAAGAGGCTGTGCACGTTAGCCAAGGCCGGTGTGACCAGCGCCCTGGTCAGCCTCGCGAAGACAGACAGTCAGAACAGCAAGGAATTAATAGCGCGCGTTTTCAATGCGATATGCAGTCAAGTGGAGGTGAGAGGAATAGTCGTCCAACAGGGTGGTGCAAAGGCACTGTTGCCGTTAGCGTTAGACGGCACGGAGAAGGGAAAGAAGCAGGCCTCGCAGGCTCTGGCTCGTCTGGGTATCACGATAAACCCAGAAGTCGCGTTTCCAGGCCAGAGAATCATGGAAGTGGTTCGTCCGTTTATTAATCTTCTAAACCCGGAGTGTTCCGCTCTCGAGAACTTTGAAAGTCTGATGGCTCTGTGCAATCTGGCCGGTGTTAACGACAGCGTGCGAAAACGCATATTGAAGGAAGGAGGATTCCAGAAGATCGAATCCTACATGTACGAAGACCACGACATGTTGAGACGCGCAGCCACGCAGGTAATAAATAATTTAATAATGTGCGATGAAACGATACAGTATTTTGAGAAAGAGAACGACCGGGTCAAGTATCTCGTGATACTGTGCGAAGAAGAGGATCAAGATACCAGCATGGCGGCTGCTGGAGCGCTGGCAATGCTGACGTCGGTCAGCAAAGCAGCTTGTATAAAAATTTTCGACTCGAAAGATTGGCTCGAATCCCTGCGTTTTCTACTCGCCAATCCGAACAGCGACATGCAACATAGGGGTGTCATAATCGTACTGAACATGATGAAGAGCACGAAAGACGTCGCTGCGAGACTCATTGAAACTGACGTGATGGAAATATTGATGGCGTTAAGTAAAAACGATAATATAGAAAATAAAAAGATCAAGGAATTAGCATCTGCCGCGTTGGAAGCTGCTGCAAAATGGGAACTAATTAGGAATATCGGAGAGACACAAGAATCACAGAGCACTAGTAATATAGAACATATAGATTAAAAAAAAAAAAAAAAATACTTATACACACGTTAAACTCTGAAGTGCCTTACATGATAAAATAATTGAATGACTATTACGTTTAAGTTTTTGCAATTTTATAGTTCTGTTAACAAGATTATCGATCATTTACAGCTATAAAAAAATATATGATATTTATACATATCTTAGAAATCTTTATATATATTTTATGTATACGTAATTCATGTTTGTAATAATTCACGATACTTAATTAGTATCGCATTAAAAAGCTGAATATAAATATATGTTCAGTATCGTGTAAATATATGATATATTTATATACATAAAATATAATGTATAAATATTTAATTATTGACAATAGAAATTGTATAATTTATTGTGTGTCATACACTATATCAAATATATATTATATATATACTAAATATATATTAAATATATATTATATTTACATTATATATATTTATACATCAAATGTATTTTTTTATATCTCTTTAAAAAATTTTATCAATTCAATGTTTCAAAAAGAAGCCAAATTTTTTAAAGCAAAACATTTTATTTGCATGCTCATAAGATATATAAAGTATAATTCACCATTTTGCTTATAAAAAGTGATATTGTACAGTAGTAGAGATCAAGTTTAAATCCAAGTTTTAATTTCTCGCATATTAATACTTAAATTGTTAATTAAATTTCAAATTTTACCGGGATTGAGTTTCAAATTCTTAATAACTTTAATTTTTTTTTAGACTAAATATATGTTATTGTATTATTACACATATATTTTAACAAGAAAAATAAACTTAAAAATACAATAATGTATATAACAAAAAAAAGTTGTAGTTTGAACATCACAAGACATCACGAATTCAAAAATTGATGAGACAAAGCTTGTTCTGCGGTAATGCGTGTTTTGTAATCGAGATCTAGAAGTCTTGTTAAAAGATGGTAAGCTTCCTTTGGATATTGGATATCTAGTAATACCTTAAAAAAATTTTCGCCATAATTTTGAACACATCTTAAAATTATTCTTAAAAACAAAAAAAAAGAGTGCAAAACAAAATATACCTCGTTGTGTACACTATTCTCCCTATCACATGTAACTCTCTTGTTTCTGTTTTGTAACTTTGTACATAAAGATACAATATCAATGCCTGGTAAATTTTCGCTAAAAATAACTTTCTTACCTGAGTCAAACAAAAACAAAATAAATAAAACACAATGCAAAATCAAGAAAAATCAACAAAATGAAAAATATACAAACTTAAGTGTGAATAAATAAATTATTATAGTACCTAATTTTTCTGCGCATTGTTGCATTTTTTGAGATCCAAATATTGTTGTGATTTCGGTTAAAGCTGTGCAATCGTCGGGTGAACGAAAAAACGTTTGTGTGCCACTGAGTATGCACAGCATCACTACACCGCTGGCCCAAATATCAATTGCTAAAATATCGCATTTTTTTTATTTTTTCACAAAAATTAAATACGAAGTTGTGTTTTATACTTTCTATGTTTTCTCATTTCTTGAGATACCTGGTGTTTGCCAAGGATACTTTAGTAGAACTTCCGGAGCACGAAATCCAGGTGTACCAGCACGAGGTGCTTCTTGCTGCGGTTTTCCTAAGCATATCGAACAAACTTTGGGTTTTCCAAAACAACAACACTTGTTATCCGCATCTTTTTTTCCAGTAGAATTAAGTCTCAAGTTATTCTGGAGAGAAAATACAGCAAAAAATTACAAAAGAAACATTGGAACACATTGCACTTAGTTTATATTTACATGAGAATAAATGCACATATTACCTCGTCAGATCTTTTTCGCTTTGTAGTATACATTTGTATATTTTTCTCTTCTATTTCTATTCCAGCCCACGTATTCTCTACATTATATTGTTGAGCAAGACCAAAATCTACCAATAAATATCTGTAAAAAAAAGAAATTGTTAGATCGATTTATTGAGTTTACTAAAATTATAAAAATCATTATTTTTGTTTTTACTATACATGTTATAATAAAAATTTACCTTCTATTTATACGATTGTAAAGAAAGTTACTTGGTTTAATATCTCTGTGTATGATGTTAAATTTGTGGACTCTTTGTAGAGCTGTTAACAAAGCTCTCATATAATCCTTTGTTTCTTCAACAGTCATTTCTTTGACATATTCCTAATTGTAATCAATATTAATTATATATACTTTTATCTCTCTTTAGTAAAAAAAAAAACAAGTTTTCAAATACAAATTATAAACTTACTGAAAATTTTTCATGCTTCATATACGGCATGACAAATGCTACTGAACTCTGGTGTCTCAAACACAATTCTAAGCTAACAATGTGATCCTTGCCTCTAAAAAATAAATAAATTACATTAACTTTTTAATCAGTGTATCAATAATTGCGTATTATTAGTTCACTATTTATTTTATGTCAATAAATTGATATGAAACAAATTTTGTTTAGTATACCCTATCATTTGCAAGCATTCCAGTTCACGTTTAACTCTCTCGGGATGACAAGTAGGTATAAGAAGTTTCAGCGCAAATTTTTTACATTCTTTGGAAGACTTCAAGGTAGCCAGGAACACTGAGCTAAATGCACCTTCTCCAACTTTATAATGTATGTGAAACAATTTATTCACAAGTGGTATCGACTTCTTAAGATTGGCACAGCTACCTTTTGCTAGAACAATTATGTATTGATATAAAATATAGCAAGTAAATGTACGTAAATAAAGAAGTTTTTACAAGAACTATCAACTGTCATGTGAATATAAAAACAATACCGTCATCGTTTTCGTTATTTTGATCCTTGTTAACGTTTTGATCCGTTCCCTCACTGAGTTCCATTTTATCTAACTTTCAAAACATCCACTATTCTATATACTAGTCGTTCATTTCTTTCTTAAATCATTTTTAATTACACTACCGAATTTTTTCTTTATCAATTACGCACAATCTCACACGGTCTCACACATCATTAATAACTCATCAACACTCATTAATATAAACTTTCTAATACACTACTATAGCGCTATCACGTATATATGACATAACCTTTTAGAAATTGGCGCCATATTCAGAGAATGATCAATGAGTGAATTTATCCAAGTGCATATTATAAATAGTAAAATATGTAGTAAAATATTCTCGTGATAACTTGTTTTTATTTACCCAGTTATATGTGTGTAAAAAAATCTAATGCTACTTATTATAAACTGTTATATAAATATTGATCGGTATCGTTAAAATGGCAACTCATCTACTGCATTAAATGCAGATCGTGATAAGTAGCCCGGCTAGCTCAGTCGGTAGAGCATGAGACTCTTAATCTCAGGGTCGTGGGTTCGAGCCCCACGTTGGGCGAGTTTCTTTTTTTTTTATCTTCCAAAAATTACTTGTACTTTAACGTGTACTATATGTTTAAACGCAATTCTCATTTAAATTTATCTAAAAGATTTAAAGTTGTAAAGAATTATGAATGAAGAAAAAAGTAGAGAGATTGTGAGTTTTATTATTAAATTTCTATACAGATCTCTCACAACTATTGACTACATAAAAAAATCTTATCTCAGGGAGACAACAGAATACATAGATTTACTTATAATTGTCGTAAAAAGACTAAAATACATAAAAAATAGAAAAAAAAAACTTACAACTAGCAGAACGTGGTTTCGATCCACGGACCTCTGGGTTATGGGCCCAGCACGCTTCCACTGCGCCACTCTGCTTGCTTGTATCAAATGCTTTTAAAAGTAAGTCAAATAATGAGGGAATAAACTGTAGAGTTTATAAGTTTGTAAATGTTAGAATTTTAAGAAACAAAAGTCGTTATCTTAATCGGCCAACGATCGATTAGTCGAATGACAAGTCATTGTCATTGACGATTAATTAAACTTTCGAAAATCCAATCGAAATTGTGACAACTTGTCTTTAGAGCTGTATATTTTTTGAAAATCCATTTACTTTCCTATGCACATTTAATTTATTTATTTACAAATAGTGTGTAGATTTTAGTTTTATCTTTAATGCCACACAGCTCTGTGCGGAAAAGCCTGCTTGTTCCGTTCATAAAGGAAACTGTTCCATTCATAACGTTTAAAAGGCAATCGTCATTTAAAAGGCATCTCAGATAATGGGTAATCTTAACAATATAAGTCACCAGTTTGTCTTGTGAGTCAGACCGATGAGACAGGGTTTTAACAAGAGACAAACTTGCACGGACAAGTCGACTCTAGAAAACGCTTGCGATTTCTCTCTCTCTCTCTCTCTCTCTCTCTCTCTCTCTCTCTCTTTCTCTGTCTCTCTCTTTCTCTGTCTCTCTCTTTCTCTCTCTCGCATTTATCCACGTGTGTTGCGTTCGCTCGTGCAAGGGACAATCGATAAAAAGCCCGCTATCATAGAGGTCGTGCGTGTATTGTATAATGTATGTATACGTAATGCACGCGTATCGTGCATAAAAAAATATTTTTGCAATATCACACATTGCGCAAACACGTAAGCAACCGTAACGATAAAAATTACAATCAAAAATTGTTATTCGCAGTTCGAAGTTTTTTGCGCCTGGATCGCAAAAATATTTGCACGTTGCGCGCAACGATGACACGATATTATTCGAAATCGATATAACCTCGGCATATTGTTGATTTGTAAATATCAAACGACATGTCTCAACATTATTGTGTCTTCATTCCTGCAAAAAAGATCATTTTTGTCGAGATTCGCGAAAGTTTGCGACGTTTGTATCTTCCGATTCCGCTATTTATTTTTTTGTTTTTTTTTATCAATAATCCAAATTCGCGCGTTGTAATTCTTTAACGCTTGAATCGCCAATCGACTAATGAGAAATCAAACCAGATGAAAACGTTCGTTGCAAAACGAACAAAAATCTCGTTTGCAAACGAGCGGTACAAACCGCTTATTATCGTTACATGAATATCGGCTTATATAACGCGCTGAGAACATGAAAAGAAGGCCGAACGATATATTTAAGAGATAACGATATAAATTATCGCGATTCTCGGAATCGAGTCTAAAGAGTTTTTCTCGTGATATTGTCTTCGTAATTTGATCAATAAGACACAGATGGCGGTATTGTTCGATCTGTCTGTCTCGTGTTACGGGACGATCGACCAGCAACTGGCGCAACTGGTCTAGGCCTCTTATTATTTTTGATTCGAAACATATTTTTTTAATTTTACTTCGACAAGAGAGATCTCTCTACCGGCATTGCCGACCAAGAAAGTGTTGCATCTCTTATTTCCTTCCGTCAGCTCTTTTGTCGTCACGATCTCGCCGTCGTGCTAAATTGCAACAGCGTGACTCTTTACGTTTGAGTCACGTAGTGCGACACATAACTGTTCGCAGAACGAACGACGGTCGCCATCTTTTTTCAGGAGATGATGCAACCGATGACACATTTCGATCGTGTTCGTCATTCACATGCGCAATTATAACGTCTTGGTTTCTCGAACGTGCGCATTTTTTTTTTTTTCTAGCGAACAGACCCATGTTCGCGCGGACCCATTAGATCGAAGTCCGCCGACGATTTTCCTCCGCGGGAATATCGCGCGCATTTCCGCGCGGACTTTACTCCATCCGTAGGTCGGGCGAAAGTCGCCAACACACAGCTGGTGAGAGCTATTTTGAACGGCGCGATGCGACGTTGCCGCACGCTCGTCCGACGCGATCGAACAAGTTCAAACATGTGCCCCTTTGCGTTTTGTTCGCTCGCCGTAAGAGAGATAACGGCCTAGCGAAACAAACAATTCTGGCTCTCTTTTCGTCGTCGTTCTTTTTTTCCTTCTTTTACGCGGACCCGTTGTTGTACAAATAAAAATAGAATTCCGACATAAATGTCGCTTTGTTACTTGAGCAGTCACCTGACTGGACCGTTAAAAATTAACAGGATGCTGGACAAATTACAAACTTTAAAGTACCTACAATCGACGTGTTATTAAAAGGAACGAGAAGAAATACATGCATGTGAAAACATTTCGACGTGCCGGGAACGTCGAAGCTGACAGATCCGAGCTCAAGAGAAAAACCTACGAACGATCTCCGATCGGTCCGGAGAATCGCGCGAGCGCGCTTCCCGGACAAATTTTCGAGAGATCTTCCCAGCGGTATTATTCCGCCCAGCTGGACAAGAAATCAGGTTGCTGCTCGCGGCGAGAGATCGGCGGGAGGAAAGGAAATGCGGCAACGCAGCGCGACTGCGTGAGCGGAGATGCGCGGCATGAATAGAACACCAACGTTTGACGGGCCACCGCGTTGACGAAGGAATGGCGGGAAAGAGAGGATCGACGCGCGGCGCGGGAGCGGCGAGGAAATGGCACGAAAGGTGCGAGCGAGGGGCAGAGGGCGCGTAAAGTTTCCACGGCGCGGTGGGGATACGCGCGATCGGGGGAATGGGGAAGCGAAGGGGGAAGATGTGCCGCCTGCTGGTCGCGGTCGTGTACGCGACGCGATATAACCAAGGTGATGTTACTGGATAAAAGCTACCGCCTGTAGGGACCTTTTGGAAATTTTATAAAGCCTCGTCTCTCTAGTTTGCCGTTCGCATTCGCGCATGGCAAACTCGTATTTGTACCTCGAACACCTTAAACAGCAGGAAGTCGATGAAGAACAAAAAAAAACACAGTCCTTGAGCAAAAATTTTTGTTACACTTATTGTTTTTTTTTTTTTTGAAAAGTAACAAACAGATGCGCACACATGTTTGAGAAGAACGCTAGCTGGCAGACGGTTCTTCAAACGTTTGACATCATTCAATCGTTTCAACGTGAAGTTTATGGAAAATATAATTTTTTTTTTTTTTACCGAAGTCTCTCTACTTGCCCGCGCACAAGAACACTGTGTGTGAATATATATTTATAGATTTAAAAACTAGATGCGCGCAACACACAATCGAACTTATCGATAGGTAAGAGATTGCCTCTCGAAGAGCGACGCGCCTCGACAACAACTTGAAATAAAGATTGGAAGCTGTGCTTAATCGGTAGATAAACAATTATCGCGGGTAAATCAATTTTATTTGCCGCGCGCGCGTGTATCATTTTTTTTTTCTTTTTTCTTCTCGTTTAGATATCTCGATTTGTGTCGATCGCAAGCTAGAGAGATTAGCGCGCGGATATATAATTCCGACGAAATATATTGAAAACCACTTTGCACATACCCTCTTGTTGAATTTTATATTTGACGCTCTTTTATTCGAAAGAAACAAAAAAAAAAAAAAAAAAAAGTACTTTTCGTTATCTCCTCGCGACAGACGCCCGAGAGAACTTCGACGCGCGATAAGTCTCTCTTTAGGCGCGTGTTTTCTCTCTTTATCGCGCGTCAAAAGCCAAAGTGCGCGCACAAACGACAAAAACTTTTAGAGAGCGCGTAAATTTATATTTGTCCCCATATATATACGTTTTATACATACACAGCCGTTCGTTGCATCCGTTGCAAACGAAGTTTAATGGTCGCAAACTTCGCGAAGTTCAGAAACACACTCTTATCTCCTTGTCTATCTACGGTAGAGCGCATTTCTAACACGCTGTTTCTACCGCGACCAATTAGAAAATCGCTCGGAAAGAGAGAGAGAGGGGGCGGTATGTGGCGACGGCAAAGTAATTGGACGTAATGAGAAAGCGCGTGCTGAAAATATATATACAATTGTCGTGAGACATTGGGCTTAAAGACGTAAAGGTCCGCATCGTGCAAATTTATTCTCCGTCCGGCCAACACGTCGAACTTTTCAAGGCTCTCCCGGTGCGGGGGGACGCTTGATGAAAAAAACGTGTGCGGGCACACACGTTCGTGCACGTTCGCAACGTTTATTTTATTCTGCGCCATGATGTTCGCCTGGCGGTCGTCGCTCTACGTGAGGTCGTCGCGAAGGGAAAACTGCCGTTCAATGGGCGCGGGCGAAGTTCAAAATCCGTCCGAGCGATCGGTCGGGGCCGCGAACGGGGAGGTCGCACACGATTTACTCGAAAAACATATGTGCGGAACAGCGGAACGGAGTGCATTCCAAAATCTTCCGCTGTGCCACGCTTTGCTCGATTCTCCGAGAAACGTTGTCGGTGAACGTTGGCCACGCTTGTATCGGTGAAATCGTACAAGGAGAGAAGGCGCGCGGAGAAGGAGAGGGGAGAGAGAAGAGAAAGAGAGAGAGAGAGAGACAAAATGCACACACACGACGTCGCGGTGAATAGAAGAGGAAAACGGAGTCTCCTCCTCCCGCCCCTGCCTCGCCTCTACGCTTTATGATGCACGTTTGCTTGTCGTTCCGATATCCCCACCAACGCGGCGCCGTCGCCGCGACTGCAACGTCACCGGTTCCCCGTTCCTCCCCTCTCTTTGCCGACGAAGCGTGTGCGCGCGCGCTCACCGAGCTTGTTCGGCAAATACCATCAAACTTCAGTGAACGCGAGAACTTCCGTTCGGTTGGTGTGTGGTTCGTGAGAGAGCGCGTAAAAAGCGCGCCATATACACAGAACGGAACCAGTGTTCGTGGCTCGGTGACACGATCGCGGTCGCCGTTATCACTGGATAGATCGTCTCCGGTCGCCAAGATGCCGCTCAGCATCGGCGTTAACCTGCGAGTGACCGGCCACTGTAATCAGGGCGGCCGCAAATACATGGAGGACATGTTTTGCGTGGCCTTTCAGCCGACGTCGGATGACAAGGATCTGGAATACGCGTTCTTTGGCATATTCGACGGACACGGGGGCGGCGAGGCCGCGTTATTCGCCAAGGAACACCTTATGGACAGCATCGTGAAGCAAAAGAACTTCTGGAGTGATCGCGACGAAGACGTGCTGCGGGCAATCAGGGACGGATATGTGAACACGCACTACGCGATGTGGCGGGAGCTCGGTACGAAAACTCGGGAATAATATTTTGCATGTGTGCGCGCACACGACGACGAGATTAAAAGTTTTCAGAAAGAAATCGGAGCCGCCGACGGAAAGGCGAGGCACCGCCCGCCGTGGAATACGATTTCCCTGCGGTCTGTTGCGGCGGGGTTTTCCGTTACAGGAATTTCTGACACCGTCCCGCGTATTTTCCCCACCATCACCTGGTGGTTAAGACCTGATTAGGTTAGAGGTTTAGGTTATGTAACCCATTCGAGCTAACCTGGAAATTCGAGTTCGAAGAAGGCGGTGTAATGGATCACGCGAGACGGGTTTCCCGCGTCGCGTTTATCCGCACAATCTGGCCCTTAATCATTTTCCGGCGGTGTCGTCGCGCGCGCGCGCGCGCGCGTTCAAAAAGAAAAAAAAACCTTACCAGTTGCGTCGGCGCTCCGTTCTAGTCGACCTTGATCGCTGAAATGTTGTTTTGTATCTCTCACAGTCGCATTGTGATCGTTTCGTTGATCTGATGTTGTTTTTCGAACAGATAAATGGCCAAGAACTGCATCTGGATTACCGTCCACAGCTGGCACGACTGCCAGTATTGTGTTCATACGAAAGGGCAAGATTTACATAGGACACGTAGGTGATTCTGCCATTATATTGGGCTACCAAATAGAGGGCGATCCCCAATGGAAAGCGAAACCCCTGACGAAAGATCACAAGCCGGAGAGTGGACCGGAAATGGCACGCATTCAAGAATCAGGTGGAAAAGTAGTTAGTAAATCCGGTGTACCACGAGTTGTGTGGAATCGACCTCGTATAGGACACAAAGGCCCAGTTCGTAGATCCACTCATATGGATGAAATTCCATTTCTAGCGGTAGCCAGATCATTAGGTAGATCTGTTATACACGAAGAAAGCAAAAATTATTATTTGAAAAAAAACTCATTTCCTAAAAATTCTAAACAAACATTTTAGGTGATTTATGGAGTTACAATTCCGAATTAAATACCTTTGTCGTCTCACCGGAACCAGATGTGAAAGCAATCCCAATTGATGTTAAATCACATCGTTGTCTTATTCTTGGTACTGACGGCTTATGGAACATGATGTCGCCACAAGCTGCAGTGGCCATTGTTCAGGCTACAGACAGACACAACGAGAAACATTTAATAGCTTCTCAACAGACTGGCAATGGAGTAAGATTGATTGTTTGAATTATTCATTATATTTATTTATTGGCGGGTGTATGTATATATGTATAAATACACAAAGCTATATTTTATGCATTTATTTTATACGTATGTTTATGTAATCGTAAGATATATGTACATACAAAACTTTGTTGATAGCAGGTTGACTTACAAATGTGGATAAATCCATCAAAGAGTCTAGTAGATCGTGCATTAGAAAGGTGGTCGTCAACTAGATTAAGAGCAGATAATACCAGTGTAGTAACGTTAATGTTGGATCCCTCGGGACCATCTCGTACTGAGGTAAATATTGTGCCTTTTTATATTTCAAATATACGATGTGTTTCATATTATCTTGTAATTATAATATTATCTTGTTTTTTATACAATAAATAATATTACCTATAATATTACCTTATTATACGATAACAATATGTGTGTACAATAAAATCTATAGATTTGTTATTTTTTCGAACATAAATGAGAAAGCACCAAATTTGCGGAACATTTGCCAACTATATTGTTCATTCTGTAGCTACAATAGTTCTTTTTTTTTTTTTTTTTCTATTAAAGGTGTTACTTAATCAGAAGAAAGATCGTGTCATACATCACGGGACACACACACCGACCACAACATCGAGTACAGTATCCGAGAACGTTAATTCAACTCTATCCGAAGAAGTTAATTCAAGAGTTTCAACGCCATACGCGCCGATACCTTTGTTATCACCATCGACGTCACCATCGACGTTACTACCACCACCGCCGCCGCCGCCGCCGCCACCGCTGCCGCCACAGATATCACCGTTGCTCACATCGAGCCTTTCCTCGAATCTTGACGTTGAACCGAAACAACCGGACTCGTCGAATCACGAAGATATTGTCGATCAAGTAGCGCAGTTGGAAACAAGTTTGTGTTCCGAAAATTTGAATCTGTCAGAAGAGGAGAATATTTCTTCGGAACCACGAGACATCGCGACGGACAACAGCACGGAAAGTGCTGAGACTAACGACGTCGGCAAGAGTATTCAAGTCGACGAAATTTCTTCCAGCCAAATGCCAGAAGAAACGGGGGATATAGAGAATAAGAAAGTAGATGAAATCGTTCTTGATAAATTGAAAGATCTTGCGAGCGAAAAGAAGCAAGTGACTGAACAGAATAAGGACGAAAGAGCGGAAAGTGATAATGCACAGAATGTAATTTCGGAACTGACCCCAGAATTAGACAAGTTGACTTCGGAATTAGAAAAGACCATACCGGACTTAGAAAAATTTACTGAGCCTGAAATAGCGGATAAAACAAAATCAGCGGATAAGACAAAAGCGTCAAACGTGGCGCAGGAAAATGCATTTTCCGATACGAGCGAGGAAACCTCGCAACCGGTTCCTATTGTAAACAGATTACGTCGAAGTCACGTTATTTCCATCAAACGTAACAGTTTCGATCTGAACGAGTCGAGACACAAGCGACCTTTATTTCCCGCTCCGGAGAGAGGAGATCTCAGAAGCATGGAGCGACGACACAGTCTGAACACGTCGAACGAAACTCAAAATGGCTATTCTGATGTGGCGTCGTGTTCAAATTCAAAGACTTATGTGAACGTGAAATCACGTTACAAAAAATTGAAATCCATCGCGAAAAGCGCGACGAGCGAGGAGTTGACAAACGCGTCATCGAACCCTAACTGCAGCGTAAGCAACAAACGCAGACATAGCGCGATGACGCAAGCGTTTAGCGAAGCCGGGAACGACTGTGCGCAACAACAGGAACCGTGTGCGAAGAGGAGAACACGTTCCGAGGATCGGCGAAGGAGTCCCACAGACGAGAACGATCCGGCTAATCAGGTAACGGAGAACACCAACGGCCGATTAAGCTGGTCAACGTCGGACGGGCGACCAGATTCGACACTGAGCACCGCTACAACGACGACGTTATCCGGACAGGATAAATTGTCCTCGTCAACGAACACGTTCCAACGTAGGAATTTAGGCAAAAAAGTCACACCTGTGAAAGCCATCAGAAGATCATCTATGAACGGTTCAAATCGACTACAACAGTTAAGAGGCAGTTTTAGCAAAAGGGATTGGGACCAAGGAAGAAATAATCGGATGAACAATTGCAATGATAGAAGAACGTTAAACAGGACGCGAGATATAGTTGCGATCATCGGTCCTACGGATACGACGCTACCGCAACGGTGGTTAAGGTTGGTGCAATTAGTCAACAATTTGATTATTTCAATTAAATGGCGCACACACAGATCAATAGAATAGATAATATCCATTTAATCAGTCTGTTAAATGCAATAATAAAAACATTTTTCTATTATATTTTGTTTAGATCGGATACAATGGCGGCGACTCCCGTAAAAACGTTACGTTCGCGTAATGTAGATATTGCCGGGCATACGATATCCGCGCAGTTAGTTCACCATTACGGAGTAGTAAAACAAAATCGATTGCCTCTGCCGAACAAGCTGAAACAGTCCGCAAACAGTGGATCGTTACAATCGAGTAGAGTCAGGTCTTCCTCATTGTCATCCAATAAACTTAAACAAACAAACAGTAACGGTGGAAGCGTGAGTACTTGCGCGGCCATTAATCCCGCAGCGACAAGCTCAGCGTCCGGCATAGCTAAGAGAGTGAAGTCACCGTACAATCCCAGCGCTCGATCGCTGAGCACACGATCTCGCATCAAACGACTTGGAAAGTAAGAGGAAATAGTTAGCGGGCGTAGTTTTGCAATTTCGCAGGGATTTCGGTAGGGTATGACATTCTTACCCTTGTGTTTTTTTCTTTATTATCTGTGAATTATTCAGTGACATGAAAAACCAATCGTTGCAAGTGCGCTTTTGAGACTTCCTCACTTTCATGTTCGAAACTGCGTGCATGTTTTTTTTTTTTTTTTTAGTTTGTAATGTATATGAGACTTTAATACATCGTAAAAAAAAAATAATATATGTTTTCAAATATAAAGGAAGAATATGTAAAATAATTCAGCATTATTTAAATATATATATATTTGAAAATTTGTTCTTTTATATTTGACGTTATGATTACTATTAATTCCAAATGTCTGCTTATATTTTGTTATTAAGAATCAATGATTTAACATATTAGTTGATATGTGTCTCGTTCTAGGAAACAAAGGTTTTTGCTTTTTTTTTTGCACAATAAAATAAATTGTTACGCTTCTCTCCCTTATTCTATTTATTGGACGTTAATTCCTCACAAAAAAGATCGCAATAATATGTTAATATATTATGTAGAATATATTGAAAAATTGAATTAATTTACAATTAAAGAAAAAGTTACTTAATTTGTGAAATGCCATGAAACTTTTTTAATGCTAGCTTAAAACGCGCGCGCACTTCAGAAAGCACCATTTAACGATGACATTGTAAATTATTATACGAGAAATTTATATTTTATTGTTTGTTGTTCAATAATAGATTACTGGAAAAAATAAAAGAGTACGGAAATATAACTGAGTTTTTACGATTTCTAATATTTAAATAACTAAGAGAAAAAAATGTCATAAAATTACAAAAATTGAGTATATTACACATGTGCACAAAATTAAACAACAAGTATAGATGCAAAGAATAACAAAAAAAAAAGATCGTACATACATTTTATGAAACGTATGTGTGCATATTTTCAACGATATAAGTTTTGTTCGTAATCTTTATTATTGAATGAAGCAATCAAACCAGTGCACATACATCAGCGTTAAACACACGTACAGATCTCTAAGTCTGTATATATGTGTTTGTGTGTGTGCGTGTGTGTATGTATGTTTGTAAACATAATTGTCTCATTCATATATTCCTCTCTACAATCGCAGTCTTCGACAACAGTTCTGAAAGAATTCTCAAGCATTTAAGTCTCGAAAAAGCACTGTATTTAGAATGCAATTATAATTATTAAACTTCTCTTCTAGTATATACAGTATGAAATCACGTTAACTTATCTTGACTAAAATTACAGAATAATTATTGAAGAACATATATGTGCATAGAAAAAAAGTGTATACAAATAAGAATTGATTACAGAATTTCACAAATATTACAAATATTACAGTAGCAAAGAAGAACTGACGTTTTAATTATTCGTAAATTTTGATTCACACGAATGCAAAGCAATATAAATAAGTGTAGTAGGCTAAAAAAAAAAAAAACAAAACCAAATACAAGAATCATGATTTTAAAGAGCCATTCGCTATACAAACCATTGAGATCATCACGTATTGTGCAACACAAAAGTTTAGAATATACATTTAAACGGAAATAAAATACACACTTATCTTACGATAACAAAAATTCGATCGAAAAATTTGCGAGTTTCTTTCAGTGTGAATAATTGTACAACAATTGTGTTCCATATGCAAGTGAGCACTATCATACAAGTGATACAATACTAATTATCGAGAATAACAAACATATATATGTGTGTGTATATATAAATTAAAATAATATTAGTTAAAATAGTAATGATATAGAATACATATGTGTATATATACATATATATATATATATATATTCTATCAGCAATTTTATAGATTCTATCTTCGCGTGAGACATTGTGTAAAGAGAAGAGCACAAGACAATTCAGGATAAATATCTAAATTTGTATTATGTATTTATAATTACACAACTAAAATATTAAGTTCTGCTGTGCATTTCCTGTTTTGTCTGAATTTTTTTATTACCAAATATGTGCCCTAGAGTATATTTTGACAAGAATGATACAAAAAAAAACATCAGAGTATGTGTACATATGTAAAATTATTTATATTACTTATATAATATTTATATTACATATGTTTGACCACGCCGTCTCGTTATTGCGCCTTAGATTGGTTTCATGCGCAAACGTAACGTCAGATTTTTTGCAAATGAACTATTTCGATTTTCACCGATATGATAAATTTTACGATATCGACAAGTACGCGGATGTAAACTCAGTCAAGTACATGATCTGATACGCACTAATATCTAATAGAACGTGTTTTTGACACAGTAAGATTGTCGACTATATGTGTGCATGGATTTTGGATAGAGATAATCTTAAGAATTTGTACTTTTTTTTTTTTTTTAAAGAAAAAGAAACAAAACATCGACGAATTGGACGCGTAAACGTTGACTGCATGTTTCACCGATACCCACGTCGGCTATTTATTAACCAGCTTTTGAAGGTGATTCGAAACTTTGTTTTGGTAGATAAGTTTAAGCAAAAGTCTGTTGTATGCTCGAAGATTATAATCGTGAAGATTATTATTGTGAGATATTTAGAGAGAAAAATTATTGCTACTTGAAAAGTAGTTGCTGTAATAAAAAGCAGCATATAATCCGCATATGTAAAAGAGATACAAGAGATAGATACAAAAAAAAAAAAAAAAAAAAATACGTGCCTAATATAGTTACCATTTGCTGATGTGTGTATAAAAATTATATCCTTGCTTCTCTTTTTTTCGCGCACTGAAAGAAAGTCTGTTTCGAGTAAATAAGCTGTAGGCTGTTGTAATGGTGTGCTGTAAAACCGAATTATCGAGGAGAGAGAGATACATATGTATATATACATATATATGTACGTATGATAGAGCTCGCGAATCTATATATATATATATATATATATATATATATATGTAATAACAAAAATCTATTTTACGAATATTTATCCTTTTCGAAGTATGCATGTAAATACAAAAAAGATATAAATATAAAAAATGCTAATATAATACATGCTATAATATATAATTACACATATAAAAAGCGACGTGTGCTATAAGCGCACGCATACATACATACACATTTAAATAAGATAAGTGATTGATTGTGATTAACGCGAATCGCGGAAGAAAAGAAACGAGAAAAGCACAGCGTTCGAAATAGCGCTTTGTATTTGTTGACAAGTTGTGCGAGAAGAAGATTGTCGAGGGAAGTCGGGACGGAAGATTTTTCTTTGTGCGTAGATTTATTATTTGTTACGTCTTAGAGATGATGAGAGAAATTAAGAATATTTTATAAGAAGAAACGTGACGAACGTGGTTTATAGAGTATGTAAGTACAGAGAGAGACCAGAGAGGGGAGAAGAAAAAATTTATATATTAGTGAGAAAATTATATTATAGCGGTGTTTTTATCTCAGGTTAAGATAATATCGCAAAAAAAAAAAGTAGCATTCAGAGAATTCGAACAAATGTGTGATCCACGTGTTTATAATCTGTATATTTTAATTAAATAAACAACAATATACAAATTCCATTACTGAATGTATCTTCGCAAGTATTTGATGCAAAAATCTTCTTTCTCTAAGATATCGTCCAACAAAATTTCCAACGAACGTTACTTATTTTCAAAATTATTATTTTATGAACTTGTTAATATTAGTAATTAAGTTTTGCGCGCGTGCTTAGTTTCTAAGTGCGGAAAAATTCATATTCGAAGTTTCACAAGATGACAGATAACAAAAAAGTCCCTATACCAGCAAGTCCAATTTTCAATCATTTTCTATACAGATCCAACCCTAACCTAACCTGATCCTAACTTAACGTGAGATGGTTGACAAATAACAAGCAATACAAAAAAAAAATCGCAAAACTCGGATACATATTGCGGTGCAGCGGTATTTGATCGAACGTAATTATTAAAACTTATCGCGCGTGTTTCGAGTGTTAAATATATTATTATCTTGAAGAACAAGAGAATTTACAACGCTTGATCGCTACGATCGCATACAATCATGGATACAAACGAACAAGAAAACGATTCTGTAACCTCTTCCGAAAAAGTTTCAGTGAGTAACGAGAACACTGACGAAAGTTGTGACAAAGTGATTTCCAAATGCGATGATCAAACCACTGGTAAAGCTGAAAGTACATCCGAGTCTTCGGAAAACAAGACAGACGATACTCCCAAGGAATTGGAATTTAAAAAGCCGCTTCTGATCGGAAAACGGGGGAAGATAGGAAAACTTCGAACATTGAACAATAATGTAGCTCCACCAACCGAAACGTTGTCTGCAAATAAAGAAGCGACCGAGACCAACTTGGAAAACGATGCTACAGATAATAACGCTGATGAATCGACATCGGAAAAAAGCCCCACGGAAGAGAATCTTTTGCTTGACGCAAAAAAGATTCCCGTACCTTATTCGGAGCCAAACTGGGGCGGAAAACCGACAGAAGAATATTCATTTGAAATTCTTAAATCCGGAGTGATATTGGAGAAGATTGATTTAACGGAGAAAAGCTTTCATGTGGTAGGAAGATCACCTTTGTGCAATCTGTCACTTGGACATCCAACCATATCAAGACACCATGCTGTTATTCAATACAGAGCAGTGGAAGATGAAAAACATTCCAAAGGATTTTATTTGTACGATCTAGGAAGCACACATGGGACATTTTGGAACGGACATCGTATAAAAGCAAGAACCTATGTTCCGTTGCATGGCGGTCATATGATTAAATTTGGTTGTAGTCAGAGGAAATACATCTTACAAGCTCCTTCACATGATGTGGAAGAGGAATCTGAATTGTCTGTCACCCAGCTGAAGGTTGATGTCTTTTGTAATTAAAAGTTATAAATAATTAGTCTTCTATAATCAAATGTTTACAATATTTTGTTACCGAATACACTTATTAGTTTATATTCTTATTACAAAACTATCATATAAATTCTTAAACACTTCAATGTACAGGAAAAACGAATGCGAGAATTGCAAGAACAAGAAATCAAAAGACTAGAGCAAGAAGAAGCTGAAGAGAGAGCAAGACAGGCAGCAGAAAATGAAGGCATTGATTGGGGAATGGGAGAAGATGCCGATGAGGAAACAGATCTGACAGAAAATCCTTATGCTGTGGCAGATGAGGAACTGTATTTAGATGATCCTAAGAAAACATTGAGAGGCTGGTTTGAGAGAGAAGGATATGATTTGCAATATCAAGTGGAAGAAAGAGGCATAGGTCAATTTTTGTGTTGGATAAAGTAAGTAAAGTTAAAACACATAAACATATTTTGTGTGTGTGTTTTAATATTTTTTCTGTAACTATATTATACAAATAACTAAAACCATTTTAGTTTACCCAAAGAATGTTTTGGTGGTCGTTTTGTAAAAGCAGAAGCTCTTGTAAAAGGAAAGAAGAAAGAATCTGTTGTTCAATGTGCTTTAGAAGCCTGCAGAATTCTAGACAGACACGGATTACTAAGACAAGCTAATCATGGTAACGTATCATGTTACGAATAAATAATATTTTTACTTATTCAATTGCTTTCTCAATTCTTACACTTTTATATTTGCATAAGATTCTTTATGTGTTTCTTGGAAAGAGTACTATAATTTATTTATTATAGAGAGCAGAAGAAAAAAAGAAAGAAATTGGGAGGAGGAAGATTATTATGATTCAGATGAAGATAATTTCCTGGACAGAACGGGAACAATAGAGAGGAAACGTGAACAGAGAATGAAACTAGCTGGAAAATTAGAGGACAAAGTCGAGACATATAGTTCACTGGTAATGCTCGTTTCAAATGTTTCTTTTTTTATGTCTATTTTCTAAGAACATTTATAAGTGAATTTAATATAACGCTTTATTTTATTTTTTTCAGATTGAAAAACATAACAATATTGTAAATAAAATTTCGCAATTAAATAAACGCTTAAAAGAAGCACAGGGAATCAATACTAAGACAAAAGAATCTAGTGAGGACTCACTGGATGCTTTCATGTCCAGTCTGAATACGTGTACTTTAAGTAAAAGCGATATAACGAAAATGAAAGTAGAACTACAGAATCTGCGTAAGGAAGAAATGAATCTAATCAAGTTGATAAATCTTACAAAACCGGCCGACTTGCCTCCTCTTGTTAGCAAAGTACAAGCGGAAAGTAAAAACGATTCGCAACAAGAAGCGAAACCTACGAGAAAAATTTCCCAACTTGAGAAAAGGAGGAAACTTTTTGAAGCGAAGGTAAGCGATTGTTACTTTTCTTCTGTTTGTGAATGATTCTGTGATTAAAATCGATAAAAATGTGTGCGCGCAATTTTGTAGAACATTTCTGAGAGGATACAGTCGTCAAATAGTAATAATGAGAAAGAAGAAGAGGAGGAAGATGATAATGAAGAAGAAGAAACAGACAAAAAAGAAGAAATTACCGTAAACCAAAAGCAAACAGATGTCGATGTACATAAATCCGAAGACGAGGATTCTACATCACATAATGAAACAACGGAGTTGAAAGACAGCACGAAAACCAACGATAGACTGGAATCTGTTTCTCAAGATACGAACACAAGTAAACAGGAAAATGAAATTGCAAATGATAAAAAACGGAGAAAGGATAGAAAATTTGAGAAGTCGAAGAGTGCAAAGAAACAATACGACCAAGATGTTTATTCGGCAGATTATTCAACGTGGGTGCCGCCGCAAGATCAATCCGGAGATGGAAGAACAAGTCTTAACGAAAAATACGGATACTGAAGCGAAATTAACTTGTACACATATGTATATGTACGAAAAAACCATTTGTAAATATTGTTAATGAAACATTTCTCTGTCATATATATATATATATAACTATATATATGTATATAGTTTTCTCTCTCCTCCCTGCACGTTTTTTAAGACATGACTATAGTAAAGCCACGTGACTTAGTCACGTATTGGTTTTCCTCTTTTCCTTAAAGGCGGCGTTCCATTAAGCGGAATTTTATAGCGGAATGGAATCCACGGAACTAGCGCGACCAATCACAGTCACAGAATTCAATGGAACACCGCCTTAAGTCTTCTTTCTGTCATACATACTGCATGAATGATTATTGCGTTTTACAAAGTAAGTACAAGGAAGTTTGCGAAAGTTGCGAGCAAAGATCGAGCTGGATCGAGCAGTTGGTCGGTGAGAGAGAAATGTCCGTTTTCGCGTAATGTGATATACAAGTTAATTTGTTTTTGAAAATATTTTCTCAAATATCATCTGGGAACATGGAGCACGTTGAACATTCGAGTTATTTCCAAATGAGTAAGTATAACACACTATAGCTAAACACATATTATTTAATAAGTTTATTTAATAAACGTAGTTTTCTTTGAGCTGCGTCATGTTTGTGGAAACCAGTGTTTTTCGTATTTCAGTTTGGACCCCAGTAGCTTCTGTGGGATGGTATCTTGTAGGATTTGCGATTATCGCGATTTACGCGTTTCCACATATTCAGGAGAGGTACAAAAAGTGGCTGGCGAAAAACCAAACAAATGATGCATTTACCAAAAGTAAGTCAATAAATTTAAGTATTAATAAATATATAATTTTGTTTTCAAAAGTGTGTGATAGACAAAAAGCAAGTAAATACATTTTGTGTCTACAGAAATAGACGATCTGCCACAGATGTCTGCTAATGTAGAGCTGGCACGACAGAAAATGCAAGAAGCATATGCTAAAAGTGCTGCTTTAGCCAAAATTAAACAGGAAGAGGTATATTGTTCTAGCAACAGTTCTTGCAAATTTATATTTGCACATTTACAAAAATATTTATGTATGTAACATCTATTTTTTTTTGTTTATAGGAACAAGAGAAAAAAAGACAGAAAGTCATCAAATTATTGGAAAATAAAAAAGTAGGTGAAAGACTAGGTTCTTTGTCTGATAATGAACAACCTGGCACGTCAAGTGGCAAGTCAAAATCATTCAAATCAGGTAAATTTCATTTTGTTTTGAGTCTTATTTTTGTGATAAATTCAAATGATACGTAATATTTAAGATGCGAAACATTTTTACAGAATATAATCCTTTAATGGGTGACAGTACTCGAGGATATCGTCCGCCAAAACGTTCTTGCTGTAAGAAGGGTGGGTGTGGTTAATTTTATCAATTTTGCAGAAATATATAAAACATTCACATTCTTATAAAGACAATTCCAAGTTGCAAAGATAACACATGAAAGAAAAAAATTTACAGACTGTAATGTTTGCTTCATATAATAATAAATTGTGACAATTAAAATATATATCTGTTCGTATTTCAATAGTAAGTAACATTATATAATTCTGAAACACACATTAAAATAAATTAGAGATAAAATTGTATGTATTAAATGTATTCTGTATTTATACATATGTGTATATATATATATATAAATATTTTATCTACATATTTAGTTCAGCTTCTTAAATTTCTGCTCTCTCTCTGTGTTTTCTCTGCAAAGATGAAACAGAAAAATGTCGGAAAAAATAAAATTGGCGTATTTCGAACGATCGACAAAATTGCGTCGCGCGAAAGAAAAGATAAACGAAAAGATTTGGTGTAATATGCGCGAACCACTTGAATTTTTCAACATTACCTTTTATTAATCGTATTTATCAGTATAATATGCAATGATATATATATCAGCATATGTTGCTTTATACGTGTACGTGGTACTTGACAATAGCAACTGTTACAAATTATCTACAGTCGTGCGCGTGTACATGTCTCTATGTATAATCGTGTGTGTAACGTGTGTCCTCTGTGTGTAGAGTATGTACGCTGCTGTTTTTTGTTTTTTTCTTTTTTCTTTTTTTTGTTTTTTTTAAATCGTCGATTTCACTCGCGCGTGACGACGAAGAAAGGCGCGTTCGAGAGACCGCCAAATAACGAAAGAAAAACAACATTACTTCCCGGTCCCTCCAACACGTTTATATACAGCGTCTCTTCTCCTCCCCTCCCCCTCCCTTCTCCCGTAGTAAATAAATTATAAAATTAACTATATCAAAATGTTTATTTTTTTTTTTTTTTATCCGCTGTATTTACACAATATAAAAAGGAAAGATTGAGCTAAATACACACGGTGTCCGCAGAGAGATCGTCTCCACGTTTTGCGCGGCCCGTTTGCAAAATGCAATTGAAAGAGAGACGAGTATAAAAAACAACTATCGTATCTGTTTTTCTTTTCTTCACTCACTCTCTTGTCTCTTCGTTTTCCGATTCTTCGAAACCGCTACACTTCGTGTTTCTTAATGATATGGATTATTGTTTACGTAGCTCTAGCTCTCTAACAGCCTAAGCGATCCTCCGAGTGCAGAGTCTCTGCCATTCTTATCGCGTCAGAAAAATCGTCAGATCATCGTTTTGCCGCGAATTCGCACGCTCTTTTTTTTAAGTAAAAAAGCACGTAAAAAAACACTTATGAATATACGTTTATAAATATTTTTTTATAAATAGATATTATTTATATGTATGTATATATATATACATATATATATATATATGTGTGTGTGTAAACGCGTGTATAAAACACCGGGTACATATCGATAAAACATCGTAAAGGAAAAATTCGAAAGAGAGAACGTCAGCGATTCTGGCACTCCGAGGAATCTTGGGTTTTTTTTTCTTCACAATCTCGCAGTCCGGGAAGGAAGTTCACCTCAAACGAGCACACAGCGGGCATAATTCGCGTATAAAGATGGAGAGATATATATATAATATATTATATATATATATATATATAAATCATCGTGTACGAAACGTGTCCGGTGAACATTCTTCGCGGCGAGTGACGAAAGTTCGACACCGTTACAGATTGTTGTAATTTCGCCTTAACGTTAATGCAATCGCTCCACACCGTGCCGTGTGTTCAACGGCAAATGGCAGTTCTACAAAAAACAGTAACGATCGATCGATCGATCGTGAACTTTTTTTTTTTTTTTTTTTGGATACGTGTGTGTTCAATGTTGTGTGTTCGTGTTTCACGTTTGTTTGCGCGTTTACTTTCTTGTACACATATCTCGAGTTTGTTAAAAGCTACTGCAATTTTTGTTTTTCTTTATACAAGTCTCCACGCAACCATCGTAACAACAATACAAAGATGACAAATTATAAAAATAATACGTTATCTTTTCATTCCTTCGCGCATTGATACGATGGTTTGGCAGCAAAAGGTCCGTTGGCTGAATCACTGATCATTTAGGAATGAAGATGCGGCGCTTGTTTTTTGTTTTTTTTTTTTTTTTCCGAAAGGGTCACGATTCCATAGCCTTCGAAGAGATATTTCGCAATGTGCGCGCGTGCGTTCGCTCGTGCGCGATCATTGCTTCTCGCGAATGATGCGCGTGTCGCATCGTCGCCGATCCGAGATCGCGCGGAGGTTCCAATCAGCGAGTTGAACACACTTGCGAACGAATTATATACTCTTCACTCGCAATCTCGGCAGCAGGTCGTCTCTTCGTTCGTCGTCTCTTTCGTTCTCATCCTCGACAGAACGCACAAATTTTTCTTCAGAATTTTATCAGGTAACTGGCAGACGTAAACAATCTGTTTCATCAGTTGATGATGTCGAAACAAATGTCAAGCGTTTCAAATACTTCGCACGTTTTTGTTGTTAAAATACTGAAGATAATATTTACATCGTTTTTTTTTCGCCGCGAAAAAAGAACTAAGAAAGAACGACAGAGAACGCAGTCGTAGGAAAATTTTCTGTCTTTTTTTTTTGTTTTAGCCGCGCGAGCTCGCATCGGACGCACACACTCGTAACGTGATGACGGATACTTAAATTACATTCTATCTAATTACGTTTAATGAGATGCTTCCTTCTTTATAGTAGTAGTTAGTAGTCTCTACTCTTTCTCTCGCACTTTCTCTCTTTCTCTCGCTCGCTCGCTCGCTCTCTCTCTCTCTCGACAATTGCCCCTTTCTTTAGCCTAAAAGTATATCATATGTATATGATATCTTCTCTTCTACTCGTTATTTATTTCCTCGCCTGTTTGGATGGACTTTTTTTGTCGAATATAAATCTACTCACACGTGAGAATACTTTGTCACGTGCTAGTAAATTTATACACCGGGATACTTACATCACTACGTAATTGTATTATCACTAGATAGACCTTATGTTCAACTGTATGTGTGTGTGTGTATGTGTCTGCCTTTTAACAAATTTGTATCTCTGTTAATTAATTTTTTTTCCAAAAAAGAGATCAATATTTCTCGGTCTGTGTGTGTAACTTTTTTTTTATGGAAATTTACATAGGGCAGTGAATAAATTACGTTGTGCGTGTGTATAATGTCTGAACAAATAGTATATGTCGCGTGGAATTATAAATTTCTCTCTATTCAGGCAGCTTGCTCGGCTTCGGACCGAGTGAAACTAATCGTATTGTGTACATATATTATAACAAATTTGAGCGATTCGCCACGCGTCGTTAAACGAGTTCATGTAACCAAGTGAGTTTTTTCGCCTTGTGACGCGCGCGAGGCACGCCGTCACAAATAATAACGCTTCTTCGTTACTTGTCACTTAGTCCGAAATTCGTAATTAATGTTATTAATGTATAATAAGTAAATTCGCGTACAAAAGGAAAGCCACAATCCTCCGTTTCTCCGCGACGACGTCGTTACGAAGAAGAAAAGATAATCGAACGGCGGAAAGTTTCGCTCGCACGTCGCAGTTGAAACAAAAAAAAAAAAATCAAATTCCAACGGGGTGCCTTAAAACTGCGTATAAAAAACGTTCGTTTTCAATCGCGTATGTACATAAAGAAGGAGTTTCGCGGATAATTTATCGCGATAATTTATTGATTTTAAGCGGATGCTCGAAACAGCGCTCTCCGATCTCCGAGCGACGGTTTGAAAGACGAATGTAATCGCGTCCCGGTTGTAGTTCCCGTAACAAAGTGTCGCAAAACGCCGGAAAAAAAAAAATAACGTTGCGATTTGAATAAATGCTAAAATGCATTTAATAAATGTATGCACGACGCGTTGCTTGATAATTTACATAGATGCAAATAAGTTTGTTTTAAAAATAAAATTCTCAAGCGACGCTCTTCTGTAGTGGTGACTATATTTTATTTGCAGATGCTTTTACTTCTGGGCGATGGGTTCGGTTCTAATTTCGGTTCAACGCGTCTTTAAAGATCGCGCGCAGGAGATGCGCGCTGTCCCGGAATCATCCGCGACAAATACGACAACGTTGTCGTAAATCCCACGAATTGACGCGATTTAACGTACTTTCTCTCTCTCTCTCTCTTTCTCTCTTCCCGCTCTCTTATTAAAAATGTGCGTTTCAAAAAGAAGAATGACGACAGTAAAATTTCACGGCTCTAATAATATGCAATTCTTCTTCGCCGTTTCGCAAAACGCGCTCTCAATAAGTCGGTCATTACGAATGCAAATACATTTCGTTGCGCTCTCGATCCCCAAGTCTCTCGCGAATGAAAATCAAAAGATAAATATGCAAGTAGAGGAAGCACAAAAAGAGTCTTGAATGCCATCTTTCAAGTGACGAGAATTTCTCAAAGCGCGCGCGCGCATCAGTATCGCGTTATACTGCTCTCTCTCTCTTCTGCTACTTTGCGGATTTGTGATCTCATTATAGTTTTCATTTTGTTTCAACAGTTTTTTTTTGGGGGGGGGGAGGGAGTTTTTTTTCTTCATTTTACTTTTATCTTCGCTGACCTTTGACAATAATATCGAAATTTTAATCCGAAAATGCGACCACCAGGTTATTTAAATTTACGATTCGCACATCTATAATTACCTGCGTCGTAGAATGGATGAAATTAAAGCGGCGACGAAAATATCCGATAAAATCGGAATCAGGTACGCGTTCGAGAATAACACACTCTTCACATATCGGCACTGTCGTCGACAGCTTCGAAGCGCACATTTTTTCGCGAGCACATTCTCTCTCACTTTTTTCGTTTTTTTTTTAATTTTTTTTTTTTTTTTTACACACATCAGTTCGTGTCACGTGCACGTGTATAATTATAGAATACATGAGATACTTTTATACGTGTGCTTCTCTCTTACTTATACGTAATACGAGTTCAGTTGATACGTATAAATTAATAACTAATGACTAAAATCTCGTTAGAGAGAGTAACTTTGTACAATTTATACAAGGACCATTTGTATGTGTACGTGTGTGTATGTGATATGATATATATATATATATATATATATTTATATTTATATTTATATATATTACGCGTCTTTTTTCTTTTATTGTTACTTTGTTTCGTTAAACGTATCATTACGTGCATTTATTTTGGAAGAATTATACGTCTCACCCTTCCTCTTCTTCTTCTTTGTGGAAATTAGACCTCCAGTTTGCCTTAGGATTTAGGAACGTTATATCCAAAATAATACGCCTCATTCGTCATTGTATAGATAATACAATAATACACAGGCTGTTGAAAATAAACGCCATTAAGAGCTTTGTAAGCGTGATCGGTCGCGACGACGTCGAGCGCGACACGTTAAATCCTTTCGCCACGACAATTACGCCCGCCTATATCTCGTCGTATCGTCGTATACCGGGAGAGAGACACACGACTGTAATCATCCGCCTCTAATTGTCCATATTAAGATCGCGACTATGCGATCTTACCTGCCTGGTAAGATGCCGCCTATTCACATTCCACGGCGACCGTTTGATCCCGCGCGAGTGTTTAAACCGTCTAAATGGGATGCGGATGAGGTAATGTTATTATACCGGCGGCTCTCGGAAAATCGAACGGACTGGTTCAGCGCCAGAAATAGAGCGTGAACGTTGCAAATACTGTTTGTGTATCGGCGAGCCGCGATACGATATCGATATTTTAAATCTCGCAATCGGGGAAAAGCAATTTTCTACTCGGAAATTTAAAATTTTTCAAACAAACAATAATTACCGTAACGAAAGGATTACTTCGTGTGCGTAACAAGCAAACGCAGTTAATCGACAGGTTTATTTCACGTAAAACCGAACAACAATGGATTATTCGGACTGTATGTATGTGTGTGTGTGTGTGTGTGCGTGTGTGTCACCGTGATAACGAGAGAAGAGTTCAAAGATAACAAAGCCACTGTGCGTTAAGAGGAAACAAGTTCCGAAAAATTTGCAAAATCTCGTTTTTTTTTTTTTTTTTTCACAAACAAACGCGATATAACGTATACTTTTATTATTGCTACGATGTGATTCACACAGTGGAGTTTTCTTCGAGCGCACAATCTCGCGCGAACATGTAAAAATAAACTTGATCCACTTGTCGCAAAATCGAATATTATTTTCTTACGGATTTTAAAAGCGGTGCTCGAATTCTGTCTGAATTAAATTTGATTTTGATTTTAACTTCCAAAAGTTGTCAAGTAACATTAACGTGATCAAATCTCACAATGACAAACTATATTTGCTTAATTCGTACGTACTTCAATACGTGCCACTCGAATTCTTTGTTCGCGCTCGAGCGGATCGTTACCCGCGCGTATAATAATTCTCCTCATCGTGTGCTATTCGGCCACATTGTGACAATCTGTGAAATGTCACACATTCGCGTTTTTCTTCCCCCCGATATTAATCCCGGAGCGGTTGCGCGAGACCTTTCGTCGAAAAACTGGAACTCGACAACAAACTTCGTTATAGTCGTCACTTGTGAAGAATAATAAACTTAATCAAACTACAACAGTGTACCTTAACTTGCTACTAACGCGTGGAACATCAGCGGGAATGGCAGTATACATGGCAGTACAGAGCGATAAATTTAAAGAAATACTCTAGTCTGAGATTTGAGATTCTAACGTGGCCACTCGGAGATTAAATGTTCGCTTTAAAAAAGAAGCGCGCGCAACGTGGCGTGTGATAGCAGATTCGCAAGAAGAAAGCTCATTTTTTCTTCTCTCTCTCTCTCTCTCTCTTTCCTCTTCTTAATATCAAAAATGGGGATTGCTTTTTTTTTTAATATTCTTTCAACATTGTACAAAATGAAAAAAAAAAAATCCAATGATACTTTAGTCAGTCTATTTGGCAGAGTATGCTCGAAGGAAACTAATACTACGCGATCTTTTTTTAGTTTCTCATTTGAAAGCCCTTGTCTGAGTACCGAGTACGAAGTGCGAGCGCGTCGCGCGCACATAAACGGGAGCGTTTATTATCGCGGCGCGTTTACCGCCGCCGCCGTCGTCGCCGAACGTCAATCGCACACGGAGTTCGTTTTTGCAATTCTTGAGTGTCTCGAGTGTCTCGAAATTGTGCTTCTCTCCTTCTCTCTCTCTCTCTCTCGCGAATAGAAGACTTTTGTTGCGCGTCGTACAAACATAGGAAAAATTCTACGAGCCATCGTTTCGTAAAAACGCGAGCGTTTCTCAGTCATGGAATATTCCTGGTGTCCCTCGTGAAATCTATTTATACCCGATATAAAAGAGACGCGAAAAAGGAACGAGATTCTTGTTCGCTGTTTAGCGAACTTGGGATTTTAACGAGATTGCGTATAATCGACAGACAAATACACCAGTTCGCGCTTTAATCTCGAACTTGATTTTCGTGTGAGGCGTCCGCGACACCTTTCGCTGATGATGACTGGCGAAACGGCTTCCCGTAGCCGAGACTCTCTCTGCGATCGTTCGTTGTGATCGAAGGCCGTTCGTTCAGGCACGTCCTGTACTTACTAACGTCCAGAGTTTAACTCTCACGGTGATCACCCAGTCGACTAGACTCCGCCGGAGCGTTCGGGTTATTGCCACTGAGAAAGATATTATTTAGCTTATTGTATCGTTGACTGCCCGTACTGCTCATCGTGTTTGAGGCCGATGAATTGTAGCCGCCCGTTCTCGAAAAGTTAGGCAGTTTGTCTGAAAGGGATAAACGTCAACGGAACGCATTAAAGATGTGTTGACTTGCGAGAAAACGCGGCTCGAATATAAGCGATCAAGATAATACTTAATTAAAACCGTAGAGCGACGAGCTAATTCGTCGCTTTTCAAACATCAGATGATCACCTTTGCTACGATTATGCCTCAGCCTCTCCTGCGAGTTCGTGCTTCCGCACTGCCTTTGCGGAATGCACGAATAATTGCTGTCGCTACTGTACGTGGGCGACGACGTCCTATTTCTTCTTCGCGGGCTCCTGTTACTTCTGTTCCGCGAGCCTGTTCTGCTTCCGCTGTGGCCGCACCCGGTTCCGTACTGTTGCGCGCTGTACTGTATCGTGTCGGCGTACAGGCAGCTCGACTCCGAACACGAACAGCACGCGTCCGAATGCGTGTTGGAGTCGCACGACTTCCGATCCCACTCGTCGTTCTCGGGTTGATAAAGATTGTCGTTGTGAAACACGTCGTCCCGGTGCCGATACAGCTCCTCGCTCATCGCCGACGACGACAAGTGCGATTGCTGATTCGAGGAACGTGCGAACGCAGCGTCGCGAACGCTGTACTCGTCCGAAAGACCGTTCTGATGATGTCCGTAGATAACGGAACCGCTCTCGTACTCGTTCTCCTGGTTCTTGTAATCGTAATGATTGAAACCTTGTGGAAACGTGGGCAACGGCGGCGGATTCGTCTGCGGTGGTAACGTCGTGTATCTGCCCTGCGGTAGTTGAAGACCGCTCGATACCGAGAGACCACCGGGTTCCGAATGCTGACTCTGTCCGCCGCTGCTCCACGGCGTCGGCGACGAACTAAAACTATTGGCCACCCTGATGGGCGGGGTAGGTGGACTTTGCGGATTACCCGAGCTGGCACCAGTGCCGCAGTGATCCAAGTCATTCTGAACGTTTCTCTTGCCGAGATGCGGACTGAACGGCACTTGTTGCTGCTGCTGTTGTTGATGCATCCGACCTGCGGCTATCGACGTGCCTAGCGGCGGAGGATGCTCTGGTGGCGGTGGTAACATGTCACACCAGTTAGGCATCGGCATACCTGACTGGGACGCGTCACCGCCCGCGGCGCCTGCTATTCTAAACTGCCGCCTCTGCATGTCCAGGTTTTCGTCTGTGTACGTAGCGTCGCCTCCGCTCATGTTGTCGCTACTGGGCGACACGGTGGATTTGTTCGGTTCTTGATTCGAGTCCAGACTCGAGTAGTCCGGTTTTAGGCACGAGTCGCTCGAGTTTGACTTCTGACAACTAGTTTCGATCGAATCGGAATTGCGACTGCCCACGCACAGCGTTGTGGTCGCGTACGGTTCCGGTGGCGGCGCCTGCATTTGCTTGCGCGTGTTGTAGAACGTCGTGAGATTCACCTCGGCGTATTCCGAGCCAGCCATTCCCATTATGCCCGCTGCCAGCATGTGCTGATTGTTCAGCAGTTTGGTCTCACAGTCCTTGTCAGTGGCCTGGAGAGTATTGGTTTGCCGCCAGCCACGTTCCAGCCAGAGCGTATCTTTGTTCAGCTGACATATATCATTAGCCGTGCCTACGGGCACGTTAAGATGACCCAGTTGCTTGCTCATTGCTTGTCTGCGTCTAACATAGAGTGCGCCCAGCAGTGCGGCGATCACAGTGAATATCATCGTTATTATTAGCACGAGGAACCACGTTTCTCTGACAACGGACGCGCCCCCGTGACTGGGATCGGTTCGCGGTGGCAGTTGCGTTAGCTGTCCAGGATCCATGTTCAACAATATCGGACTGGAATAAGGACCGAAGCCGATGCGGTTCTGTCCAGCGACTCGCGCCGTGTACAAACCGCCGGTGGTGAGACTGTTGATGATCACCGACGTGGTGGACGCGTTCAAGGACATCTGACCCAGGATCTTGTTACTGCTATTGCTCTTGATCTGAATCTGAATCAGCGGATGCGAAAATCGACAGTGAAATAAATATATTGTCGCAAAGAGAACACCGTAACGCGCAAGACTAATGATCGATCCTTACCTTGTAGCCGATCAATTGGCCGTTCTGAGTGTTCTTCGGCGGCGGCGACCACCGCACGAACGCCGAAGTCATATTTATCATCCCCACATGAACGTTCTCGGGAGCGCCCGAGGGTAAATCCTCCAAAGTGGTGACCAGCTTTACGTTGCTCGGCCGGCCCTCGATTATCTTGTAGAACGGGACCAGGAAGAACTCGTAGCGCGTATACTTTTTCAGATTGTCCAGCACGTAACTGGTGGCGCCGGCGTTCAGCACCGTGACCATCTGATATTCCGGTTTCTCGTCAGATACCTCGCGGTACCGTATATAGAGACCCTCTACTAAATCCGCCGCGCCGAGAATCTAAAATTTAAATTCCATTATGTTATTCTAATTCCCGCTATTGTTGCTGCGCGATGCTTTGCAATTCCGGTCATCGCGTCAGATTGTCTCGAACATTGCGCGTGTATTTTTGTCGTTTTATTTTCAAACAGAAGTTAAAAATCATTCGTTTGTATCCCCTGTTTTTTATTTCAAGCGAGTCACAGAGAGAGATAGTAGGGTAAAGGAAAAGACGAAGTTTAATTAAAACGCGTGCTCTCGAAATGACGTAAAATCTGGTAGAGCATGAAATACTCACTTTCGAAATGTTTTCGAACTTCACGATTTCCATCTAGTTGGAAAATTTTTTGCGCTATTGTCGCGAAAGATAAATCGAATATGGAAAGGTGGCTGACTTACGTCCCACGTGATCTTCACACTGGTGCTGCTTAACGGCAAGACCTCTTTGAGATGTAAAATCTCACTGTTGAGCCGATCTCGGGCGCGAGTCAGCTCCACTTGCGGCACCGTATGCTGATTTACGTTAGTAGTTTGCACCACGTCCGACAGCGGTCCGGGCAGCGAGAGCCCGTGGCTATTTTCCGCCCGTACTAGGAAAACGTAATTGGTCTCCGGCTTTAAATCTGTCACCTGTTGATGAGCAGAGCGGGAAAATCCGATTCGTTAGCTTGACGAGCAAAATCGAAACATCAATTACTACACACATTACGTAACTACACATACGTTCGGCAGTGCTTGTTTGTTTCCGCTATATGCGCTTTTTTTATAACGCGATTTATTTTCTTTTTACGAGAGACCGCGCCGTGTAACAATAAGATATAAAGTACATAATGCTCCTTTAATAAGAGAGATATTCAAGTATCCCTCGTGTTCACGCACAAAGCTTTGTAGGATTAGGTTCTTCAGCCTTTTTATTACGTCGCTACTCTTTCAACGCGCACGCACGAACCTTTTAAATTTAGACATCGAGCAATTTAGATCCGTAGTTTCTTTCTTTTCTTCTTTTTTTTTTTTTTTTTTTATCTAATATACCGCACGTACATAGACCGGCAAACCGCCTTCGCCAACAATACGCGCTATAAACATAGGAAACGACGCGCACAAGGAGAGGGGAAGCTGGAAATAGCCACTCGAAAGGGTCGTTGAAACTCGACGCGGAGTATAAGTACCAAGAAAAGGGGTCAAGATTCTCAGGCTGTCGATTTTCTCTGTCGATGTACTCACAGTGTAGATATCGTCAAGCACACCAACGGCCGCCACCACCCAGCCGGTGTTCAGGTTGCTGCTGTAGTACTCGATATTGTAGCCGATGATCTTGCTCTGACCCTCGTGACCCGGACTCCACGTGAGGGTGACGGAGTTGCTGGTGGCGTTTACTATGCGCGGTTTGCTCGGGTTCTGCGGCAGCGCCGAGATGTCGGGCGTTCGGTGGAAGCTCGCGCCCGAGCTCACCGTCAGATAGGCCGACCACGAGGTGTTCCCGGACTCGGAGGACGCGATGCAGGTGTACAGACCGGAATCGTTGGCGTGCAGATCGTCTATGAACAGCGTGCCGTTGATGGCCATGGTGATACGGCCGCCCGGGCGCACCAGCACGCCCTCCTTGTGCCAGTGAACCCGAGGCGTGGGTGTACCGACCGCCCGGCAGGGCAGCGACGCGACGCTCTTCAACGGCAAAGTCTGATTCGCCGGTCCCAGCTCGATTATGGGCGGCGGCGTTTCCTCGACCGACGTCACCTGCACGAGAAATTTCGTTTGGAATCTGTTTCGTACGGTCGCGGCTGGCCGTGTGCCATGCGATTCCTTTTCGATTCCGCGTTTTCTTTTTTCTTTTTTTTTTTTTTGGAACGAGATGAGTACAGAATTCGCCCGCTTCTCGAACAATCGAGATAAATTTCAACTTTCGACTCTCGGTGGATGTAATCGTTTGAAACGACGAATAAGCGGAGCGATATTACGGAGAAATTGAAGTTTATAAATATTTTATTATTATTATTATTTTTTTTTTATTAAATCAGATATTCTGATGTTAACGGATTGAGTTTTATGTATATATCTCAAACACGTGAGTTCAAGTTTATCCTTTTTCTTCTTCTCTGATATTTAAAAAGTTTGCCGATCGAACAACCGGAATTGTCTCGAACTTGTCAAACTCGCATTTTTCCCGCTCTAATGTCTCAAAATATTGGAAAGTACGAATCGAGCCCGACAGTTAGCCTCTCCTGAATTAAGCACATATATCGCATCCGCCGAGTTCGGTCGAATGGGAGCGCGCAAAAATATGTAATTCAAAAAGTTTCTTTTCTATATTACGCTTTTTCAGTTTCTCTCTCTCTCTCTCTCTCTTTCGGCCGCGTTCCGAAAGCGAGGAAGTTACGGGAATTTCCATTCGCCAAAGTTGATCGCTGTAATACTCCCTATATGTAGATAAGAATTTTATTCAGAATGTGGGGCAACTCCCCTCGGGCGAGGACCGCGCGGCGGTGCACCAGCAGGAATGGTAATTCCGCACTCATCCGGAAGGAGAAACGTGTGGCGACGAGAAGGAGGAGGAAGTAAGAGGAGAGGGGGCGAAAGAGACGATATAAATATGTATCGAGAAAATGAACCACTTAATGTGCACACGCTCGTTTCTCTCTTGCACACGCGAATTTATCTTCGCAATACATTTTAAACTGTTGCGCGCTTATTTAGCATGCGACTTTAACTCCCATTGTTCTTGCTATCAGGTAGATATTAAAGCGTAATTGTTAACTGGTGTATTGAAATAATCAGTGTTTTTAACGCTCCATTTAAGATGAAACGCCCTGTTTAAAGATAAAATGTTTAATTAAAACACAACAAGAGAGCGTTTGAAATATATTCAACAGATATTTTAAATAATATTAAAAAAAAAAAATAGAAAAAGTGTGTATGTGTGCGCGTGTATGTGTTGAAAAAGAAATACGTGCGTAGAATGGGAGAGGAAAATTTAACGTTTAGAAAAACAATTTTCAAGACCACATGCGAATGCCGCGAGAGGGATGTAAATCACACACAAGAGTTATATACCTGAAGAAATACGGTCGCGGTGCTGGCGCCGGCCTGACTAATGGCGCTGCACACGTAGTGGCCTTCGTCTTTCCTGACGGCGCCCTTGATACTCAGACTTCCGTCTTCCGTGACGATGTAGTGGCCCTGATACGTGTGGCCGGGAAACATTAGCTCCTGAGAACCTTCCCGGGTCCAGAATATCGACGGCTTGGGCGCGCCACGCGCCGCACACGAAAAGGTAACGTCGGTCCCGGCGTTTACCGTCTCGTCCTTGGGGAAGTTGGTGAAAACGGGTCGAGCTGTGTGTGACAAACGATTGTTCAGGTTCGATTGTTCGCACGGCTGGATACGTTTGTTCAGCGACAAGAGGATGAAAAAAAAAAAAAGGTCGTCACTCCGTTTAAATGCCCTCCCGACCGGTTTTATTTTTTTCACACACGAGTAAATCCACCGCGCGTTTAATTTCGCGGGTAATTTCTTACGTTCGAGTTCGAGAATTATATTTATAAAAACAACGGAGAAACAATGTAATGAGTTTACTTTTTTTTTCTCTTTGCGATGCAAAAACAACAGAGATATTAAAGAAACACACAAATCGATTTATCGGGTTGAGAATTAAGGTCGTTTCTATATCTTTGTTGTGTGTTACTATTGTTTGCCGATTAAAAATGGTAGTATGCGCATTGCTTGGAATTAAATTTTATCCTCTCAATCCCTCCCTCCCTCTCTCTCTCTCTCTCTCTCTTTCTCTATCTATTTCTCTTTTCCCGGATATATTTGCGTCAAAATCCACACAAAAAGAATCTTGCGTTTCTTCTGGAAAATAGAAACTGAAATGAACACAGAATCCCACTCTCTTCCAATGGGAAATAAAGTTCTGAGAATAATATTCGTATTTATTTTAATAACTAACTGGGAAAAGAGAGAGAAAGAGAGAGAGAGAGAGAGAGACAATAGTATGTGCTATCGCGCACAATTATCCGTATCGCGCGTTATTTATCGAGAAATTTCGGACTAATTTAACTACCGCACCGTGTCCACTTTAACAACCCCTATATATCCCCGCCTGCTTCCGGGGAGCCGCGGCAACATGTTCGAATTTTCCGAGTCGCAGATTCAATTTGCGCGTCGGAGAGCGGGACCCGCAAAAGTCGACGTCCGACAGAATGCACATTCGTCGGTGGGTGCGTTTATAATACGCGGCGATAATACGCGGCGGCATTGCGTCTGGTTTCTGTCCTCTGGCGCAAGCGGAGAGAGAACGGACCCCTCTCATCTCTCGCTCGTCACCGCGCGATCATCGCGCACCGGGCGCGTAATTAATTTCACGGCCGAGCGGCTCCTCACACACACACACACACACAGAAAGAGAGAATGAGAAGGGGAAGGAGTACGCACAGCCGGAAAGAGAAGGATGAGAGATATACGAGGAGGCAGGGATTATATAGCGGTACTCACAGTGCACTGTAAGAGTGGCGCTCGCTGATATCGCGCCTACGTCGTTCCTCGCCTCGCAGATGTACGTCCCTTGATCCTGCGGCGTCACCCGCTCGATGTGCAAACTTTTGTCCGGCAATATCTGCGCCCGACCTATTGGCATCTTGCCGTCGTTACGCCGCCACAGGATCTCTGGCGTCGGGTCGCCGCTCACCCTGCAGACGAATTCCGCCGTCTGATCCGTGAGAACCGTCTGGTTCGACGGCACGGCTTGGAAGAACGGTTTCACTGCGAACACGAGAAAATTCTTGCTTGCTTGCGACCGTTTCCGGATTGGACACGCCGAAAGAACATGGATGTAAATTTCGAATTTCGCGACCTCTCATCGGATCTCTCGGCTTTAGTCTCGCCATAGCAAATTCTGACCGATACTCGCTCTCATTATTTATTCAAGACGGATTTAATTACAGCGAAGTGCTCGACAGTTTGAATAAATAAATGACCCATATAAATGACAAGCCGATAAATAAATTAGAACGTTATTAATAATAACAACGTCCATATTGGTAAAACGAACGCGGGATTCTTCTCTTTGTTATCGATCTTGCGGCCGGATGGAAATAAACGCGTACAGAATGACGATCGAAAACGTGACGAGTTCAAAAAGAAATGTGATATTTCCGCACTAAGATAACGATGGGAATTAAAAATTAATTAAATCTATCAACACTTGCTCAATGAGACGCGGGATGATAAAAGCGCTGCTGTACATTTTTCTGCTACAGTTCAGACATGAATAATTTTCACGTTTCCACATTATTTATCAGATTGATAGACGAGACAAAAATTGTGAATTTATCAAACGATCGAAATTTACTTCGCCAAGTCGAACCGACGAGACTTCAAAGTCTCGAAAGAAAAATCCATTAATTCGTTTCTCTCAATTCCGTGAGACGCATATATATATTCGCGAACTTACAGATAACGTCTGATAACGCTTACCGTTTACCGTGAGGGTCGCCACCCCGGACTCCTTGGTGCCGACCATGTTTTCAGCGATGCACTGGTACTTGCCTTGATCGGCCGGCCTCACGTCGGATATCATTAGGTTGCCCCCGTCCACAAGGGTTATCCTGAAAACGGCGGATGAACGATTAATCAAGACGCGACGACGTTTTCCATTCGATAAGAGCGGCGACGACGAAAATTACGACGATTAATTTCCGCCCGCAAGATCGACGGCGTGCTTAAGCAACCGGGGGGGAGAAGACGAGAAATGGTCCAGAAATCTTTCATATATTTCACGCTATCACATCATAATGTATTATCATTGCTTCGCGCGTTCGAGAGAAAAAGAGAAAAGATAAATTTATTCACACATCTCGCAATTTTATTTGATATTATCTCACATGCGCGTTGTTACAAACGTGCGTGCGTGCGTGTGTGTGTGTGTGTGTGTTATCGAATCGTATTATCTCTCTTTCTCTCTCATGTTATCTATTTTATTATATAATATTAAAACAATTTAAACAGAGAAATGAAATTTATGTATATTTTAATAATATCTCGCATAACAATTTATTACAATAACAGGTTATCGCGTTTTGTATATTATACATTAATAGATATTACATTTGTATTTTAATTCGCGTTAATTTTATTATTTCACAATTTTGTTCCAATTGAATTTTATTAATACGCACGCGACCGCGAGAGTAGTTTATTGGCTCTTGGCGCGTTTCGATTCCAATCCTTGTTGTTGCCTGTGTTTTACAGCGCGTGTCTTAAGTGCTGCTTCTCTACTACCTATTTGTTTTGTTTGAACTTCCGTTACGATTACGTCGGATTAAGTGAAAGGCTGGTTTTACACAAATAGTGTTTCTTAGACACAGTTTCCCCTTCTCCCAAGTTTCTCGCGTACTCCTAGAGCATGTTAATCGTTCACTCAGTGAGACGCAGTTTATTCTACGCCCTCTGTACCCCTCTTCCCTTTCCTCGGAGAGATAGAGAGAGAGAGAGAGAAACTTCCCGGAAACAACGCGTTTTCGTACTCGACCGCCCATTCCCCCGCCCACCGATATTATTTATGCGAGGGAATATATAAGGTGCGAGCAAAGGCGCGCCACTCGACGAAGGGGTTGCGTACTTGACATTCCCGACTTCCGCCTTCTCTTTTCCGCTACCGCTCGATCCAGAGGAATCGCGCGTTCTTCCGCGCGCGTCGGCGGCCCCGAGATTAAACGGCCGTCTCGTTGAGAGTTACACATGCACGCGATATCGCGCGTATGAAGCGAGCGAGCGAGCGAGCAAGCGGCGACGACGCGCAATCGATCGATAGCTTTCTCGATCGCGCTCCCTAATTTATAGTGTCAATTAATTTTCGCGTCGCTTGGTGCTCGATTACCTCCTGCTCCCTTCCCTCTTTCTCCTCTTCCATCTGCTCTCTCTCTCTCCTCTCCGCGTGATCATTCTTCGGTCGCTCTCTCCGTTTTATCCTGTTCCCGTTCGCGCGTTTCCACGGGAGTAGTAGTTAGAAGGGAGGAAAAGAGAAGCGCGCGCGCGCGCGCGCGGTCTCGACGTTCCGATACGGCCGGATTTAATTCCTATCGGTTGTCCTAATTTATCGCGGCTTCGGGCTTCCATCGGTAAATCCGGGAACGATAGAGGAGGAAGAGAGAGGGAGAGAAAGAAAGAAAGAGAGAGAGAAAGAGAGAGAGAGAGGGGGGGGGAGGGAGAGAGATTTCCGCGAGCCGCCGTGAGGAGAGTACCCTATTGATCGAGACGGGAAGAGAGAAGAGGAAAATAGCCGTCGAAGCGAGCGAGCGAGCGAGCGAGCGAGTGTGTGCAGTGCGAGTTTTGTCTCGTTTAGTTTCGGAGAGGCCACAGAAAAAAAAAAACGTCTCCATTCTCGCTCCCGACCTTTTCCCTCTTTTTTCTCCCCTCGGAAATTCGAAAGGGAAAGGAAAGGGAGGGCGGGGGAGGAGAAGAAAAAAAGAAAATCGTTTGTCACGTGCTCTTACGTGTCGCAGCGGCGCCCACCGAAAGCGTTAAGCCAACGCGTACAATACGGGGAGTGTAAGCGACGCCAAATGGAGGCAATTACGCGAAATAATGTAATAAACCGTACAAAGGTAAATCCCGCACAAAGAAAATGGGAAATAATCAATTAATCATTTATCAACTTAATAAATTACATTCCGATATATAATCAACTTTTCATCCGCGAGCGTGCGCACGCGCAATATCCGCAGATAAATTTCCTTTTAATTCTCCGCCATTTTTCATCGCGCATTTGCGAACTTCGGTAATGAGACTTTTTTTTTTTTTTTTTTTATCCCTGCGACGGTTTCGTCGATCGCAAGGGTGATCAGAAAGCAGAAGGTTTGCCGTTTCTGAAAACCAGGGAGAAAAGCGAGGAAGGAGAGAGAGAGAGAGAGAGAGAAAGGCAGGAGATCGCGGCGCGAAAAAAACTAAGAGGCGTTCAGCGCCCCATGAAAGTTTGATCGAGTCGATCTACGGGGGATTCGGGAGGAGAAAAAAATCGCCCGTTCCAAGATACGAATGGCAGGCGGAGGCGCGCGCGGAAGTGTGCCGGGTCGTTACAACGACGACGGTAGACCCGCGCAAGCGTACGCTCCTTAAAAGCTCGAGCCTGAGAAGGAAGAGCGAGCGAGAAAAAGAGAGAAAGAAACGGAGAAAAGGAGAAATTCGCTTGCCGAATTTACGTCGATTCCTGCCAACGCCGAATATTGCGAGTCTCCCGAGTCTCCTCTCTGGCGTCTCTCGTTCACATACGTTTTCGAATATCGCAATTGCCAGACGATATCGCGCACATATACGCGGGGGACACACACACACACACATCATCTATCGATTATGCACCGTGAGCGCCTATATCTCCCTTTACATTATGTAATAATTGCGCGCATGTGATTTATTATTAAAACTTCGGCGCGGGAAAATTCGGTGATTCATTATAATGAATCACCGAATCTATAGATCCGTATAATAAATTTGTCCGCGATTGATGAAAATTTCAAACGCGACCGAGCCGAATATACAATCCGCATAGAGAAATATTCAACGTGTGTCGGTCGGACGTGTGTCGCGCGATTACAGAGTATGAAACAACGTTAAATCCGAAACACAAACGTGAGACGCGCGCGGCGGTCTGGTTTGAATTCGGTTTGCGCGTCCATCTTTCTCTCGCGGATTCGGCCGAATTATTTAATTCCAAGCTAAACGGAGAGAAATAGCACGGGCTACTACACGAGACGGTTGATATCAAACAAATTATCCTTTGACACTTCGCGTTCCGTTACCGTGTGTACACGAGAGTTTTAACTTAGCAAGCTATTTCCGGGAAAATATCCGTTGAAAAAAATCATCGAAATGTTCTCGTTCGCGTCGAAGACACGTTTCAAAGCGAGAGATACGGGACCACGCGGAGGAGGAGGGGGGGTTAAAAAGCGAAGGGTTCGAGCGAGATAACCAACGGCATCCGCGTTAGCGGCGGCGTTTGATACGATTTTTTTTTTCCCGCCCGACGTTCCTTTTACCTCCGTCGGCGCTGTTAGAATTAAGTTAATCCAGAGTTCTCTTTCTCTCTCTCTCTCTCTCTCTCTCTCTCACCCCAGCCTCTTTTTTTCCCTTTCACGTCTATAAAAGTAGATATTCCCCGCCTCGTAATCCCGCGGAGCGTAAAAGTTGCTCTTGCAGCCGCGACATTATTACGCGGAGACACATAGCGCGAAATTTTCCGTGTATATAGAGACGCTTTCTCACATGTGTGTGTGTGTGTGCGCGCGCGCAATTTAATCGGGGATGGGTTCTGAAAAACGGCGATATGCGCGCGGACGCGACGCGCTTTTAAAGGGCCCCGCAAATTGCAAACGGAGTATGTATTTATTATTGGTTCCACTTTTATTCCGGCGTTCGGGTGACAAGATCGAATTAATCGGCCGCGGCGGACTAACGAAGTGCCCGTTTTTTCGCCGTGAATTCAATTGATCGCTTTTTACTTTCTCGCGCGCGCAAGCAAGTGCGAGTTTTTATTGATTAATGATACATTATTGTGACATTTTTGAGACATTGTTGTGCGGACGTACGCAGTCATTCAGAGTCAAGTTCACACATCTCGTCTTTCTACTGTTCGGCGCTGCGACGATCCGAGACGAGAGACTAGTCGGACAAAGACCGGGGAAAAAGGTCGGCTACACACCGCGGCGCGGTTGCTCGAAGTCGTTTTCCCAGCAGCTGGCGAAGAAAACGGAGGAAAGGTCATCTCCTCCCTCCTCACACCGCACAAAATAGCCCGCATTTAATCATTACGCTTTTTCGCGTGTCGGGCGTGCAATTTCGTGTCCGTGCGCTTCGGTGTTCCCGTCCGTCGCCGTTCGGTGTGTTGTCGGTGCGCCGCGGAGACTCAAAGAGAACACCCGTGGACTGGCGGGGGAGGGGCGGGAGGGGGAGGGGGCGAGTCACAAAGAAAACTCACCGTTTTGTCGCTTCGAGGTCTATTATGTGGCCGTTCCTCTTCCAGTGGAGGGTTGGTTCCGGATGGCCGCGAGGCGGTCCGCACTCCAGCAAAGCCGTCTCCCCGGCAGCGACCCTCGTGTCCTGCGGCTCCGCGCGGAACTCATCCCGAAGTACTGTAACAGACAGAGTCGGTCGCGATGATGCAGTGTTGCATTTACAAAGACACCGCGCGTCGTCGTCGTCGTCGTCGTTGTCGTCGCGGTCGTCCATCCGCGACGACAATACTTCCACGCGAGCGTGTATAACAAAAACCAAGAGGAAGAAAGAGAGAAAGAGGAAAGAAAGATTTTGCTCCGGGGCGCATTTGCGCTTTTCCGGAGGACGACGCGAAAGTGGGACAAACATATTTGCCTTTTGCATTTTATCTTTTATCATTAAAATCGTGTTATCGAGTCGGTTTGTGATATCGAATACCGTTCTCCTCCTTGCGCGCGAAGAAGCGCGCATTGCATCGCCGACTCTCTCGCAGCTTTGAAGTTTTAATAAGCCTTTATAAAAGTTGTCTGATTTTTCGCTCGTGTACAGGAACGCGTGCTGGAAACTGGGACGAACTAAAATGAATTTCAGACATTCGTGCGGTCGGGAATACTTGTGAAAAAAAAAAAAAAAAAAAAAAATACGAGATACTCGCTAAAAAATCAGAACCGTCTGGGCGCGCACAGATGAGTATTACTCATCGTTTTTTTTTTTTTTTTTTTTACTATGCATCGTATTTTCGACGATAACGCGCACCTCGAATTTAGCACGTTGGATGAAAGATTTCTTTTAGAATTACATTGCATCGGCAACATTCACACATGAAAAGGAAAACGAACGACCGCGTCAGTTTTTAGATATTTTGAATGGAAAGAGTGTTCCCAGAATTCCTGCGCGCGCGCACGCCTTAGAAATTTGTATATGAAAGAAAGCAGATCGTCCATTTAAGTTCTTTGTGGGAAATGAAAGAGAAGAGGAGGAGGCGGTGCGGCATGTAAATACGAAAATATTTGAAGAAGTCGACGCGTATTATTCGTCTGTTAATAGAAGAATTTTAAATTCGTGCTTGATCTCTTGCGCGCGTAGATCCTGAGGTTTACATTTGAATCGAATCGATGTTTACGATAGAGAGAAGTCAAGAAAAAATCACCTCAAAAAAAAAAAAAGATTATATTTATGCCAAGCAATTGGAGCGTATTTGAAGTGGGTTTTCATTTCTGTTTCGTATTTCTTAAAAAAAAAATTATGACTGCAATCTTCCCAAACGTAATTTTATAACGTTTTTTTTTTTTTTTTTTTTTTCATATTTTCGTATCGAATCAATGTTATAATTTTTTATTTGTGTATGATTTTTATGTGTGTATGATTTGAACACAAAAAAATATTTTAATGAGGAATATGGTTCCACTCGTTGTCCAGTTTTTTTTTTTTTTTTCGTAATTATATCGATTCGTCGTGAACAAAGGGTTTTACGAAGTCGCTACGTGAACGATGAAAACGGAGACGCATACTATCAGATACGTTATACCGAGGGTTAGAGCGTGAAATGACTATGAAGTGAGATGCGGAAAACACACACAGCACGAAGCCCCGCCGTGCGCCGCGCGCGGCTGAAAGCTACGAATTGAAATTTGAGACAAACGAAGGGAAAAGAGGGCGAAAGGAGAGAAAGAGAAGAATGCCGAGAAGAAGGGACCGCTTTCATAGCACCCGGCAAGGACGGGTTTGAAAAACGTGGGTCGCTATCTCGGGTCTCGAGACCCCTAACGATTTCGACGGTGAATCAAATGTAACGCAATTTCTCAGAAAACGGGAAAGGCCGGAGAAGAATAAAAGGGGTCGGTCGGCGGCATCGTCGCCGTCTCCTCCGTTGTCGAGAGTCTAGCTCGGGTCCAGCTTTCAACCCCTTTCGTTCGTGTCGCAGTAGCACTCTGTAAACTTTCTCCGGGGTTGGTCGCGGAAGGTCGACACAGGTCTTCTTCTCCGTTTTTTTTTTTTCCGTTCTTTCTTTTTCAGTTCTCCGTTCGTTCTATCGTCGTGAGTATATGTATATGTACTCTCCCCTGTACATGGTCTCTTTATATATACCGAATTTACGTGATCCCATAGGCTAGGCGCGCACGCGGCAACGTGAAAAATGAAGATTGCGCCCTCATGGGCCAGGTATATGTCACGTAAATAGGTACACGGTGCATACGGAATCAGGATCGGGATCGGGATCAGAGGCGCGCTCTTTATAGCCCGGGGTTTTTTCGGGATTATTCGAAACTCCCACTGTCTCAATTTAAGAGAAAAAAAAGGAGGAAACCAAATAGCAAAGGAGGAGAGGGGGGGAGACGAGTAGCGCATAAAATAGGCGGATAAAACCGACCCCTTTTAAGGTCGATTTTGAAGTCGACACAATGATTGCGACGATAAATTTACATTTATCACCCCGAAGGCGATTCCGGAGTTGGATAAAAATTTACAGCGCGATCAACGGCAATTTCATTAGTGTTATTATCTGTTTTATTACAAGCGAGAAATTCCACCGGGCTGTTACGATTCCAAACGTTACGAAATTACGATTCTTTGTTACGTCAACAATTCTTCTCCCGCCATCATTTTTCTAATTTCTCAAGAATATCACGCGCTAACTGAGCATTAATTAAGAGACAATTACAACTATCTATTTATCTCTTTCTTTCCCTCGCTCTCTATCTATCTGGGTAATATGACTCGAGATTTTAAATTCTCGCAATCTTCCCTCCGTGGAAGAGAAGATCTCTCGATGTAGTGGTGCGGCGCGCGATGAAGAACCCGAGATCTCTCGCCGGCGAACATTCTAATTAACTCTCGGTCTCTCGCGCTATTTTTTTTTTTTTTTTTTTGAGCGAGAGCACATTTCACGGCAATCATCAACGACGGAGAAGCGCGAGCTCCGCGAGAGAGACTCTCTCTCCTCTCTCTCTCTCTCTGTATTTCTTCTTGAAGAGGAAAATCTCCATGTCGCGGATCTCGTTTTACAATTTACATAGTGCGAGAGTCGAATCGATAATGTGACACGGTCGGTCGGTCGGCGGCGCGGTGCGGCGCGCGAATGTCGCGACATTACCGGACGTATCTGTGCCCGCGAGAGAGCTAAAATTAGACCGCGAAATTATCTGTTCGGTGTTGTACTACGTACTCTCTCTCTTGTGCGCGCGCGCGCGCGCGTGCATTTACATAGGAATGGCGCGGCGTTAAGGAGCGCTTTATTTATGTTACGCGTATGTACACACACAAGCGTGTGTTTCGCTCTCTTTCTCCTTCCCGTCACGCGATCCTCCATTTGCGTGGCGGCTTTCCGTATATACGGGAGAATGTAGTTGCGGTCGCGGCAAACGCGAGTAAATTTTGCCGTTCGCGATTTACCGATCGGCGTCGAAAAGCGCCTTTCTCTCTCGGCCGCCGCGAGCGAGCGAGCGAGCAAGCGAGCAAGCAAAGCGATCGATATCACATCGCGCAAGCACTCTCGAACGTCCCGTCGAATCCCCGAGTGTGTTTTTCTGTGCCAACGACCGCGCATAATCGATATTTCACAGTTCGGAGCCGAAAAAAAAGGAAGAAAGAAGAGAAATCGTTTTATCGGTCGCGCGTCGGAAGCGCCGTACCTACAATCGGCATGAGAGCACTGCGCCGCGACCATATATCCCGGCGTCGCGGATCGTTAGCTGTCGCAAAACACGAGGTGTCTCGTCTAGTTACTATATATATATATATATATACACACACACAGACACGAATAGAGATGACAGATATGTGTGTACGCATGTAACGTGCACAAGCTCACACGCGTCGCCACTTCCTTTCCGTGTAATGCTGTTAATTTGGTATTGTAGCGATCGTAGCTAATGGTTTCCAGCCGGGGGACCAAGTATCGACCAAATTTCGATGATGCCGTATTATCGTCGCGCTGAATGCGCGTTAATGAAGCGTGCATCCAGTCGTAACGAGTGTCCGACGACCGGACTCAATTACGCAACACAATAACAACAAGAAATCCATCGCATGAACGGGGAATAGCGGGTGGGAATAGCGCGCGCGCGTCACTTTCGCCCTGGGAATGTTTAGGAAACTTCGCCATCGGGGGAGGGAGCGGTCATTGGTCACGAAGAAGCGCAAAACAGAATTCCGTGGGGTGAGATGGCCAAACTTGGGTGCTATTAACGTCGACTAGACGCGCAGGATGTTCGCGAACTTGTACAGACTCTCTGTCTTCGGGAAATCGATAATTCACTCTGTGGCTTTAAACGTTAAGGTTTGATTTCGTCTTTCGAACGAAAATTGGCTGCAACGAGCGTACACGTTCGCTAAGTTGTTGCGAGCGAACAACAAAGACTTTTCCAAATTGAGACGAGGTAAAGAAAAAAAAAAAAGAGAGAAAAACAGCAAAGTTTTCCATCTAAAATTTCTACCCTCGAGTCTCGTGTAAACCATTAAAAAAAAAAAAAAAAAAAAAAAGTAATAAAAGTAGTATATTTGATATTTTTACAGCGTCTCTTATCTATCTTTAAATCACCCCTTTCATGACGGGCTGACTCATCCCGGCAGAGAGCAGCTTCCCTCTCAGCACAACCGTCGCGATCCAATTGGCTCGAGATACGCGTCTCCGCTTCGCGGTATCGGCGATGGCGCTCATCAACGTCCGTCACGTCGCTTTCGGTCCCTCGTTCGCAGGATAATTCCAGCCGGGCAATTACTTAGTTGGTCGTTTGTCGATGTGAACGCTCGAACGCTCGTCGTTCGACTCTCTCTCTCTCTCTCTCCCTTCCGCTCATCTCCTCCCTTACCCCACTCTTCTCTTCATCTGAAGCTGAATGGCAGGTTCGAGATATCGCGCTAATAGCACCTAAGCTCCTCGCTTTTCGTTAAAGTCTTTCGAGCCACGATGATTCCCAGACCCCCGGCAAGAAGCTACATTTCCTCCGCGTGTTTTCTCCCCCTCCCACCTTTCTTCCAACCTCCCCCCAGCGAGCGAAAGGGCGGAAGTTAAAGACGCTAGTTGCCGGCAGTTGGCGGCGAGTGAGTTGCTCCTGGCGAAATCTAATCCAAGTTTACGTGCTTCCAGTCCAATTAGGTACAAGTAGGCACACACCGGCGCGCTTCCGCAGCGTCG